GAACAACAGAATTTCAGGTCTCAGAGAACAGCTAGGGCAACCGACTCATTTGACTGATGGAAAATCAAAGTGCAGGCCAGGCAGGCAATGTGGACAAGGTCACAATGGCAAAACGGGGATGGGAACCCACAGCCCACAGCTGCCTGGATCTGTCACGTGGTCAGTGCTAAGTGTTTGAGGGTGAATGAGGTTAAGTGGTGTTCCCTTCCATGCACGGTTCTTCTAACTGATCTCCAGGTTATGGAGATGTCCTAGAGCACAAGCATTTCAAAATCCCACTTTTAGCTCCTTGGAAGCCAGACTGGAATTCCTCAGCCTTTTCCACCTAAGCTAACAACCTTCCCGACTGAGGAAATCACAGGGCAAAGAAGCCACCGCTGGGAACCCGGAGTCTTCCTCGCCGGGTGCGGGAGAAGCAGCCTACCTGCAGCTTTAGTGATGTGTTTACATCAAACTTTCAAACTGACCCAAGTCACGGACCTTCAAAGCATTGGATAAGGGGACAAGGAAGAGGTTTGCTGACAACAGACTTCTCCGGCGACAGAATCATAAACATCTCAGAAATCCCTTTTCTGGGAGCGTTCAGAATTGCAGCAATAAGAGGTAGCACTTTGGGTCTAGGAAACCGGGTTAGCTAAATACACCAAAGCAAAAAGAATTTGGGGGTCTGTAACGAGTGGGGGGAAGCGGAGGAGGCCAGAGGCCCGAGGCTAGGGGCTGTGTAGGCTGCAAGCGCCCCCCGTGACGCCAGGTGGCTCAGGGCTCCGGGATGGAGCAGCGGGATGGAGAAGGGGGAGCCGAGGCTGGGGGCCCCCAGGACTTTGGGGGCCGCGCTGGGAGGGGCGGGCGGGGCCGGGTACCGGGGCGGTGTCCCGGGCGGGGCCGGGGGCGGGGCGGGGCGGGCGGGGAGGACGCGGTCCGGTCCCGCGCGCCCAGGGGCGGCCCACGCACCTCCTCGGCCTGCTTGCGCAGCGCCTTCTCGCGCTCGTACTGGGTGAGCAGCTGCTCGTTGTCCTCGCGCAGCAGCTCCAGCTCCACCTCGTGCTCCTGGTTCTCGCTGAGCACCGAGTCCAGGTTCTCCAGCACGTTGACCACCAGCGGCATGAGCTCCTTGACCACCTCCTCGTCGTAGCAGTGGATGAGGCGCTCGAACTCGCGGTAGATGGAGCCCGCCAGGCCCGACACCCGCTCCGACATCACCGAGCCGGAGCAGTAGTCGTCCTGGTACACCACGACGCCGCCCTCGTCCATCTGGATCTCCATCATCGCGGCCACCGCCGCCGCCAGCGCGGCCCGCTGTGCGCCGGCGCGCCTGCCCTCCAGCCCCGGCTGCCCGTGGTCCGTGGACCGCGGCCCGTCGCCTCCGCAGCAGCCCCCGTGGATGTGGCCTCAGGGCTCGGCCGCCGCCGCCTCCGCTGGTGCTGATGCTGCGTCCGTCACTCAGGGGCCGGAAGTCCTGCCGCCCGGAAGTCCCGCCCGCGGGGCAGAGGGGGAGGTGCCCGCCGGTCCCACCGCGCCCGCCGCGCCGCTAGGGGTCGCAGGGGCCGTCGCGTAGGAGGAAGCTGGACTCTGGGCCTGAAGCTCGGCGGATCCGGGCAAGGAACGATCATCATGTCAGGCTTGTCGCCTCGGTCTCCCCCCCTCCCCCGGCGCCGCCCGCGCCTGTCGCACTTACCGTGTCCCCGTCAGCTTTCAGAGTCCGGCTCGGACACTTAAGTGACTTAGTTTATGTCCCAAGAGCATAGACAGACGATTGTGTACAGTTTGGAGACTTAGATGAGCATCCGCACGCCCACTCTCCCCTTCAGTGACCGCGGTGCTGATCGGGTGCGCTCTGATTTGCCCCCATAGCGGTACTACGCTTAGTGCACACTCCTACACAGCAAGCATTTAGGGCTTCTCCTACATGGTGCCTGGCATTCACTATCCCTTCTGGGATTCCAGTTCAGTGCAAGCTGCCCAGCTCATCCCCAAATCCAGTTAACAAGCTCTTTCATTTAGTTTACTTCCATGTCCTGCATTTTGTGTAACTTTAGATTTCCCAGTTTCACTTCAGCTACGTGTAATCTATGTAGCCCATCCATTGAGTTTTAAATTCCTATTTATCCTATGCGATTTTCTTGTATTCTACCAATTTGGATAGGCTCTTATTTCAACCGCTTTTAGCTATTTACTTTAAATCTCTTGGGTCTCATAATTACAATCTTCAGCCTTTGCAGGTCTGATTCTGCAGTCTGCTGTTTTTGGTTGAGTCTTGCTCAGGCTCTCCTCCCTCCCCTTGAGCTAGTTAGCATTCCTTGGAACTGCATCCATGGAAAGACGTTTAGGCCCAATTTAAAATGAGTTGCTCCACAGGATTTATTTTCTTTCACAGGCATGGACACCATGAACCCTGAGCCACACAGACTACGTAGTGTGAACTCTACCAAAGCCAAACCAAAATTAATGACAGTTTAACAGAAATGCTCTCACCCCTACTCCATGAAATGGATTTAGCACCATCTCTAACAAATAATAAGAATCTCTTCTGTGGACTGAAGACCCGGGTTCGATTCCAGTCAAGGCAGCCGATCAAATAATTCTCTTGTCACTGATGTTTCTATCTCTCTCTCCCTCTCCCTTCCTCTTTGAAATCCAATAATTATATATAATTATATATATATATATATATATATATATATATATATATGTGTGTGTGTGTGTGTGTAAAACAAGAATTGGATACATAACAAAATAAAATTTAAGACAGCTGAACCTTTGGTTTTCAAATGAAAAAAACCCTAAATCCATAACCTTAGAGATAATTTTGGGCATCCCCTGGCTAAATGGAAAAAAAAAAGGCAAACCCATTCACCGATGAAACACTGTAAGGGAAGGAGCAGCGGTCAGGCATGTTGGAGAATGGATGTTAAGGAAAGTATGTACACCCCCGGAGACACAAAACACCAAACAGGCAAAGACCCTGCATACATGATTACTAACTTTATTTAAACTGTTACACCAGATTCTGCCTTGTAAAAATAACAAAATGTTCCTATCAAAATTACATTGTGATGTGAGTACAGGTTTGTTGTTTTTGATACAGCTCTAGAAAAAAGTTGGCACCAAATGCACATAAAAAGTTTTAAGGCTTAATAAAAATAGACTGGTAATTTTTCAATGCAGCTTAGAAGTTGATAGGATGCTAAGAGTTCATGGATCCCTGCCAGTGGATGGAACTAGAGTCCTCCTCTCATTTGCCTGACAGTGAGGGTGAGGCCGGAAGGGCCAGCAGCACAATGCCAGCAACCCAATTTGGAATTCGCAAGTTATTTTGTGTATTAAAAAGCAAAATGTGGCAGTTCATTTCTACCATTAGTACATTTCATTATAAGTTAAAACCAACTTGTGTGTTTGGGCTTAAAAGTTAATCACCATTTATGACATGTTTTAATGGGGGGGAAATATTCTGAATTCCAAACAATTTTCTTAAAAATGACCATTTGAAACATGGAGACAGGAAGTACTTGATAAAGTCACATGAAATAAGTATTTCTTGGCTCCAAAGTCGGCAGGATAACTGAAAGGAGGGAAACTCTTTGGTTGACAAAGCCACATGCAGACCCCCCCCATCGTTTCGGGTGTAAGAGTGGGGTTTGGGAGCAGCTCCTGTAGGCACTTAGTGTCTCAGCCACTGGGGCTGCAACTAAACACACAGGTTTCTTTTCTCAATTTTGACAACGAAGGCATTTCCAGCACCTGGCATTAGCTCTGCCGGCACTCATACCAACAGCCACCACCACACAAACCCTCTCCTCTATTTACTGTTCCAGCGTGAGTGATGGAGACTCTCTTAGGAAGCTCAGTGGGAGAGACTTTTGCCTGACAGATTAAAGCAACACAACTTGCCAGGTCGTTACCTTTGCCGATAAGTAAGTAGCATAGAATTTGGCCAGTTAAGGCTTTTTTGACAAACTATCTCCTAGCCTCAGGTCTCCCAAGTCTCTTCTGGAAACTGAATATGGTGCAAAGGTCCTGCAAAGCTTTGTAAAGGGTGGCCTAAGCCAACTTTTCTTCCTCTTTAGTGTACCTGAGCAACTGACTTTTTTCTAGAGGTGTCAGAACAGACCAGAGTCAACAGTCACTTGGTATTTGAGATATTAAAGAACTCAAAGTTCTCAAACATCTCTTCTTCCCAATGTCAACAGGAGTAAAGACGCGTGAAAGATTTAAATAACCAATTATGTATCTGGATAGTGTTTTAGTCATACAGAAGTCAGTGGGCCTTGCAGATAAATGAACTGTCCACGTTAGTGGTAAAGAGCTAAGGCTGAAATGTACGGATGAGAGGAAAAAAAGCCCACAAACAATTCACAAGCAAAACCAGTCTGTGAAGAGGCCGAGTCCAGCCCCTTGTGAGTGAAAGGCAGATAGATCACCCCAGAGGATCGGGGTACAAATCTGTCCATAAAGCGTAAGACTGAGAAAACTTTTTGGTTTTTGTTGACAGCTGCCGATGGAAAGCAATCAAAATGCTTCAAGACAAGTCTGCAGAATACTCTGTGCCTGGTGCAAAGGAGGTCTCGGGTTAGCAGCAGTAGTCCCAAGAATGGAGACTAGTGTTTCGGCTTTTGCCTACCGCACAGGTTGTTTTGGCTTTCTTTCTGAGGCTTTAAACTCGGCTACTGTGTGAAGTGATTCCTAGATACCCGATTGGCTGGCAGTAACCGATGCAACAAGGACTTGGAAGATCTCACTTCATCAGCTCCCCACCCAGCCCAATGAAAGTTCCTCTCACATCCAAAATGGCGTGGGGCTGCTCACCAAGGCGTCACAGCCCCCCAAAAAGATATGTCTCTCGGCAGTTTGGAAGGTGAGGTCCTTTGTGGGGAGCCTGAGCAGTGGCTTCAGATACACGACAGACCCTCTCTCCAACCCCGTTCCTTTGGGCTAAAGGAAACTATATTTGAAATCCTATCTCTCGATTTTCTTATCTGGCTACAGGGGAAGCAATGGCTTCTCTAGTAGAAGGAGATGCTGGATTTGCCTCCAGGTGGATTCAGGACTTTGTTGTGAGATCGAGGCCGTGGGCCCAGCCTGGGCTCATGGCTGTCAGCTGTAGGTGTGGGCTGGGGCTCCTGGGCACAGTCTGCTTCTCTTGGGCCACCTTTCTCTCCGGGCTCTTCTCTGGGCAAGGCGCTCATGGCAGCTGTGGGACAAAGCAGCAAACCATCCCGTTAAGAGGCTCCCCAACACCTGGATGGGCAAGCTGTGCACATGGCAAGTCTGCGACATAGACCAGCAATAGCAAGAAATGCACACGGTAACGGGGAGAGAGAAAAACAGAGCAAGGCTTCCGTCTGTGCCAGGAAGACTCACTGATTATAGCAGAGGCCATTCTTGAACTGGGCATAAAGTTGGGCTCAGTACTATAAATAATCCTTGACAAATTCCCAAATAAGCTCAATACTTCTTTATATTGCTTGTTGGACTCCGTTTCCCTTTTTCTCCACCTCAATATAAAAAGCACACTATCTCAAAGCAAGCATGAACAAAGAGGAAGTCAGTCTTCACTGGAGGGTCTAGCAAGATGAGGCAAGGTTTTCTGGACTTTTTGAGTGAAAAAATGAATTCCCACGTATCTTGGTTATCAACTGAGGGAAATGGAGGCAGAAATCAGTGCCGTCAGCTTAGAGAACAACAGTGGGACTCCCAGTCTGACATTGACCACATGGGGGAAGCTTACTGCCTGGGTGATGGATTATGGAAGCACCAGCTCTCCCCACCACAAGCAAGCTTACATTCTTCCTTCTCATCATTCCTGTCCCTGCTCTTCTCATGACTTTCTTTTCTGCATTAGTTCTGCTGGTGCTGCCCGCAGTCCCGGGACTTGGGATCCCTGGCCTTTCCTACAAGAGATCAGCTTTAAAATGGACACCTTTTGTCTTGGGCCTGGGCTGATGAGTAATGACAAGATGAGAAGAAAAACCAGTGATGACCAGTTGAAAAGGTTTCATCAGAAATAGCTGAGCCCATTTCCCTGGCCGCCTTTAAATCTTAAACCCTAAGCAATAAACACAACCTTGTTTTTCTCAGCTGGCTTGCAAGGGACACAGGAATGCTACCTCTCATTCTCTGGAGTGCACCAGCAACTCTTTCAGAGTGACAGCACTCAGGAAGGGACAGGAAACAAACTCACCTGTAGGGTCCAATTTCTGGTCTTCTCCTTCACACAAGAGCACATGGTCCTGCAACAAGGCAAACCCCATGTCAATATGTGATTCAGAAACTTTTCACGTTCATTCAGATGGACGATGGAAATCAAGACATGGATGGAGGATTTGGGTTCATTTTTCAACTTAAACCATAAACAAAGTAGCACTGTGAATCCTCTCATAACCCGCTGTAGAGCTGCAATGACATAAACTCACTGCCATACGGTCTCAGCCACAGTCTCCCAATCAAATCTCTCCACCCTCTTGTGGAATTATTTTAAAGCAAATTCTAGAAATTTCATTTACCCATAAGTAATTCAAGATGCAGCTCTTAAAAATGTCCTAAAAACCAACCAAACATCCATAACACACACAATTGCAAAAATAACTGATTCCTTAAATAACTAATACCTAACCAAATTTTATATTAGGTTATGTTTTCAAAGCTCATCCATGTTGTAGCATGTATCAGAAATGTCATTCCATTTTATGGCTCAATATCCCTTTATGTATGTATAACACATTTTATTTATCCATTCATCTGTTGGTTGACACTTGAGTTGTTTAATAGCATCACTGTAAGTACTGCTATTAAAATAGGTGCACAAATATCTGAATTCCTGTTTTCAATTTCTGGGAATATATACCAAAGAGGAATAGCTGGATGACATGGTAAATTCTATGCTGAGCTTTTTCAGAAACTCCAACTGTTTTCCACATTGGCTGAACTATTTTACATTCTCAATAGCACAATATGAGGGTTTCAATTTTTCCCTATCCTTACCAATAAATAACATGTTATTTTTTGTTTATTTTTATAATAGTCATCCTAGTGGGTGTGAAGTGGTACCTCCTTGTGATTTTCATGTACCTTTCCCTAAGGACTAAGAATGCTGAACATCTTATCAAGTGCTGATTGAAGAAATGTCTATTTAAGTCCTTTGTCCATTTTGAATTGGGTTGTCTTTTGTTGTTTGGTTGTGGAATTCTTTATATAATCTGGGTAGCAAACCTTCATCAAATATGTGATTTCATATATCCTATGGGTTGTGTTCTCATTCTCTTGATAGTGTTTTTTTAAATTATTTTTTAAAATTACAGTTGACATACATTATATTAATTTCCAGTGTAAAAAAGATTAGACACTTATATACCTTACAAAATAATCACCCCTATAAGTCTATTACCCATCTGACATCATAGTTATGTTGTTGATTCTATTCACTATGCTGTTCTTTATAGGCCTGTGACTATTTTTTTTTTTTTAATATTTTATTTTTTATTGATTTCAGAGAGGAAGCAAGAGGGAGAAAGAGACAGAAACACCCATGATGAGAAAGAATCATGGATCAGCTGCTTCCTGCAAGTTCCCCACTGGGAATCAAGCCCACAACCCGGGCATGTGCCCTTGACCAGAATCAAACCTGGGACCTTTCAGTTCGAAGGCCAATGCTCTATCCATTGAGCGAAATAGGCTAGTGCTTTAAGACTTTAACTAGATTTTTATTGATTTCAGAGAGGAAGGAGATAGACACACACACACACACACACACACACACACACACACACACACACCAGTGATAGAATCACTGACTGGATGCATTCTGCATACCTCACACTGGGAATTAAGCAGGCAATCTGGGCATGTGCCCTGACCTGGAATCTAACAGCGACCTCCTGATTCATAGGTTGATGCTCATCTACTGAACCAAGCCAGCCAGGCTTGTGGCTATTTTTATAACTGGCAATTTCCCCCTCACTTTTTCACTCAGCACCCCAACCCCTCTCCCATCTGGTAACCACCAATTTGTACTCTGCATCTGAGTTTGTTCATTTACTTTGTTTCTTAGATTCCACATATAAGTGAATCATATAGTATTTGCTTTTTAAAAATATATATCATTTAAGATTATTTTTATTTTTTTGTCTTTTAAAAAATATATATATTTTATTGATTTTTTACAGAGAAAAAGGGAGAGGGACAGAGAGCCAGAAACATCAATGAGAGAGAAACATCAATCAGCTGCCCCCTGCACACACCCCACTGGGGATGTGCCTGCAACCAAGGTACATGCTCTTGATTGGAATCAAACCTGGGACCTTTCAGTCCACAGGCCGATGCTCTATCCACTGAGCGAAACTGGTTTTGGCAGTATTTATTTTTTTGTTTGACTTATTTCACTAAGCATACCTTCTAGTTCTATCCAAACTACCATAAATGGCAAGAGTGCATTCTTTTTTTATGTCTGAATAATATTCCATTGTATATATGTACATCTTCTTTATTCATTTATCTATCAATGGACACTTAGGTTGCTTACATATCTTGGCTACTGTAATTAATGCTATATTGATGGTGTCTAAAATTTTTTTAATTGATGTTAGAGAAAGGGGAAGGAAGCGAGGAAGGGAAAGGAGAGGAGGAAAGAAAAATCGATTTGTTCTACTTTATTTATGCATTCATTGTTGATTCTTGTAGGTGCCCTTATTGGGGATGGAACCCACAACCTTGGCATATCAGGATGACGCTCTAATCAACTGAGCTACCCAGCCAAGAAAAAAGTTTTTAATTTTAATGAAGTCCTATTTATTTGAAATTTTGTTGCCTTTATTTTTGGGGTCATAAGCCACTATCAAATCTAAGGTCAAAGATTTGTTCCTAAATTTTCTCAGAATTTTGTAGCTTTAGCACTTAAACATAGGTCTTTGGTCCATTTTTAGTTAATGTTTGTATATGGTATAAGGTAAGGGTCCACCTTCCTTTTTTGCATGTGCATATCCAATCTCCCCAGCAACATCTGTTGAAGTGACTATTCTATTTCCCGCTAATGATCTTGGCACGGTGTGGACATATCAATTAACCATAAGAGTGAGAATTTATTTCTTGGTTCTCAATTGTATTCCACTGGTTTATATGTCTATCTTTATGCCAGTGTCACACAGTTTTAATTATTGTATAATAGTAAATTTTGAAATTGGGAGGAGTAAACCTCTAACTTTGTTCTTAATTTTCGAAGTTGTTCGACTCCCTTAAGATTCCATATGAATTTTAAAATGGGTCTTTTTTTTTTATTTAAAAAAAAAAAAAAAGAGCAAAGTTGATAGGGAGTGTGTTCTTAAGTTTGTTTTTTTAATATATTTTATTGATTATTCAGAGAGGAAGAGAGAGGGACAGAGAATTAGAAACATCGATGAGAGAGAATCATTGATCAGCTGCCTCTTGCACACTCCCCACTGGGGATGTGCCTGCAACCAAAGTACATGCCCTTGCCCGGAATCGAACCCAGGACCTTTCAGTCCGCAGGCCAACGCTCTATCCACTGAGCCAAGCCGGTTTCGGCTTGTTTTGTTTTTTTAAAATTAGAATATCCCTCAACTCTGCTATTCATTTCCCATATTTTTGATAACTCTGAAATCTGTGATATTGACTAACATGAGGTTTGATCTCTGTTAGGCCTTTCTTTTTATAATCAAAGTTGGTCCATGATGGCCTTCTATTATGAGTCCTATAGTTTTTGGTTTGTCTCTTGTTTTGTGATGTTAAGAACCACTGATGATCACTGCCTAGATCCACAATTTCATCACAACTCTGCAAAATGGTGATATCTGAATTCTGTTATTCCTTCTTCACTTACAGGCTAGAGTACTTTCATAAAAGGCAAATTTGCCTTAAAAAATGATATCCTGAAGCACAATTCATGCAGAAAACGCTGTCTACATGCTTGATTCTGTCTTGGTCGGTGTAGCTAGGTTGGTTCAGCATTGTTCCATGCTAAAAGGTTACTGGTTCAGTTCCTGGTCAGAGCACATGCCTGGATTATGGGCTCAATCCCCAGTAAGGGGTGTGCAGAAGGCAGCCGATTAAATGCTTCTTTTTTTCCTCTCCCTCTTCCTTCTTCTCTCTCTGAAGTCAGTAAAAACATATTTAAAACAAACAAATGCTTGACTGTCTTTTAGCAGTTTTCATGATACTGTGTTGATCTTCTGGCATTCTCCAAAGGTGATAAATAAGATTTTTAAAAAACAGCCCTAGCTAGTTTGACTCGTGGATAGAGCATTAGCCCTAGGACAAAAGGATTCTGGGTTTGAGCCTGGTCAAGGGCATGTGTTTCGGTTGCAAATTTGATCTCCAGCCCTGGTCAGGAGACCTGCAGGAGGCAACCAATCAATGTGTCTCTCTCCCATCGATATTTCTCTCTCCCATTCTCTCTACAAATCAATGGAAAAGTATCCTGAGGTAAGGATTGACTGAAAAAAAAAAAAAAAATTTTTTTTTTTAAGAGTGTAAGTAGGGAACCCATGAAGTCTAAATACTTGGTGAATTTTAGTCCAATGCAGTTGTACTTATCAATGACCATTAAACATTGTGAAATTTTTGTGAAACGTAAACTCCTCTTTTGTATGAACAATTCTGTAACTATTCTTGGCACTCCTCAGTGATGTGCAATGATGTGCAGTGGGCAGTCGCTGCTGTCAACACCCTAAGACTAGCTTCCCCCAGGGCTCAGTCATCACGAGGATGGAATCTATTTCTCCCATGACTCAGGGGAGCTTTCGAACTCAATTACTAATGACTGCACCCAGGAACACCAGCGTCACCCTTCCGTCTATTCCTAATAACATGTCAAGGCTGCCTCAGGGCCTTTGAGAAAGAACCTGGCTCAGTGTTTGCTTTTCTTTCTTTTGTGCCTGCTATCTGAATGTAGTCCATACCTTGGGTTTGTTGGGATGTGCTGAGGGTAAAGTAGCCGTCACAGGGGACCCAAATATGTCACTGGTCTTCCCACCAGGTGGGTTCAGACGCTGTCGAGTATGCACAGGCATTGACTCTTCAAAAATACCACTTCCTTTTCCTCCTGCAGAAACAAGCACAGAGCAGTGAGCAATCCAGAACATCTCCCTGCTCCCGCCTTTCCCAGTCATCACTTCAGAGAGCTCCTCTCACAGTAACCCTAGTCCAGTCCCGAGTTCAGGTCAACAAGGCTGGGGCAGTGAGAGTCTCCTTTGCCAGGTGCCTGCTGGGCCTTCGTTTCTGGAACTGAGCTGAACTGGGCTGGCTACTAGAGGCAAGATGGTGAGATAGCATAAAGCGGCTTCCCCTCCCGCCCCAAATTTCTTTACCCCTGAACTTTTCATGTTTTTGTTAAAGAATCTTCTTATTAAACCAATAAAATGTTCTTTAGTAGATTAAAAGCAAACAGTGCCTAAGTTTTTAGGTCAGACAGAAAAGACGGAATTTAATAACATGCCCTGTTAGAGGCAAAGCTGTAATCTGGAAAATAACATTTAGTAGTAATTTTCTAACCTCATTCTGGCTGGAATTTCCAGTGACAAGTAGATATGTCAGCAAATCACAGACATTTAACATCTTTGCTGCCAACTATAAGTCATTTGATAAGACATACGCAAGATATGCATCTAAGATATCACTAAGGCCTGGCCATGAAAAGTAAATGTTAAAATACAATACCAATAGATCATTTATTCACTGAGCAAACACCACACACGCATTTCCTTTCCACAGAGTGCTAAGCTAAATGCTGGGACCATTATGATCATGGCCCTGGTGCACCAACAATTTATCTTATAGGAGGAAAGAAGATGCATTCCATTAAATAGCTATACGACCGTACAGACCACAAAGTGAAGAAAAAGTAATGCTTGAGGTCATCCCCTTATTGCATTGTTTCTGGTCAGGCTAAAGTAAATTATCCTATCCTATATAATAAAAGGCTAATATACAAACTGTCCCCTCAACTGGGAGTTACTTGGCTGTTTTGTGCCCCAAATTCCTCATCTGTAGAATGGGGATAATAAAAGGATCTTCTTCACAACGACTTACTGTAGCTCATGTGTCAGATGTTTAGAACAATGCCTGGGAAATAAATGCTCAATAAGTGTTGGCTGTATTTTCTATGTGTTGGAATACTGTTCAGTATAAAACAATCTATATAGCACACAACGTAAAAAAAAAGGGGGGTATTCTTTGTTGCTCCTATCTGAATAAGGAAAAGTGATTAGTCACTCCTTGGCTATAGTAACCCACACTGTTTCAAAAGAAGACCACGAACACTAAGAAGAATATGAATGACAAGCCCCGTGTGAGTTCAGAGAGGAGGAGGCTCCTCTGAGGTTTGTTCTTTCTCTAGCCTTCAGACCCCTGCTGTTGGAGTGGATTCTAAAGCAGAGTGGATGCCCAGCTGGTGTGGCTCAGTGGTTGAGCATCAACCTATGAACAGGAGGTCACTGGTTCGATTTCGGTCAGGACACTTGCCCGGGTTGTGGGCTCAACCCCCAGGAAGGGGAATGCAGAGGCAGCTGATCAAGTGGTTCTCTCTCATCATTGATGTTTCTATCTCTCCTCTTTCTCTCTGAAATCCTATATAATAAAATCCTAATATGCAAACCCACTGAACAGCAGAACATTATGATGTGCACTGACCACCAGGGGGCATACGCACAATGCAGGAGCTGCACCTGGTGGTCAGTGCACTTCCATACGGGAACACTGCTCAGCCACAAGCCAGGCTCACAGTTGGCAGGAGCCCTACCCCGCCCCTGCTGCAGGCAGACGGTAAGGAGTGAGGAGTCCTGGACTGTGAGAGGGTGCAAGCCAAACCCCCCACCCCCCAATGCACAAATTTCGTGCACCAGGCCTCTAGTAAAAAATAAGTTTAAAAAAATAATAATAAATAAAGCAGAGTGGCCTTCCAGGATGCCAGCCTTCTAGAGCAGCAGTTGCCAATTGATGGTCTGTGGGCTACTGGTGGTCCGTGAGATCTGAAAGTTTGGCGATCCCTGCTTTAGGGAACATGTAGAATCATAGTTCATAGAAAGGAGCAACTGGACTACAGTTCCCTGCCTTTGTAGGTTGGGAGAACACAGAATAGTGGGATGGCTCTGCAGGAAAATGTGCACACACACACTCATTCATATAACATCAGGGTGACTACAAACCTGAACCTTGGCTATGGACCTTCCAAGCAGCCACAGACACCAAGCTGGGAACTCTGGGGATGGGAAACCAGCCTGCATGGTGTTAAGGACAGCTGAGCTGTGGCCAGACTGCTGTTCAGTCACTGACTTGTGAGCCGGGATAAGTGGCCTCATCCTTTTTTTATCCCATTTTCTCAACTCTAACAGGTATAAATAATAATAATAATAATAATAATAATAATAATACCTTCCTGGGGTGGTTGGTAAAATACATGACTTAATATAAATGAAGAGGGTAAGCCCTCAAGTAATGCTGCCAGGCTGTTGTTATTAACAGTGTGTTGTTAGCAAAAACGTCTAGACCACAAAGTGAAGAAAAAGTAATGCTTGAGGTAGTCCCCTTATTGCATTGTTTCTGGTCAGGCTAAAGTAAATTATCCTATCCTATATAATAAAAGGCTAATATACAAACTGTCCCCTCAACTGGGAGATCAACCAGGGGGCAAGGCTGGCCAGCCAACCGCCTGCAGCCGCCCCCCTTACCGGCCCCGCCCACGACCTGCCAGATGGCTGGATCCCACGTGTGCACGAAATCGTGCACCAGGCCTCTAGTTTTTAAGATGAATATTCAACTTAAAAAGTTTTTTTTAAATTGTAAGATAGAAAAGTTCGTAAGACACAACTATCACAAATAAAGACAAAGCAAACACCCACATACATACCAACAGATCGTATAGATACTACCAGCTCACAGAAACCTGAGTATTCCTTTCACATCACTCCATGCCTCAATTTTCTAGAAACTACAAACTTATTTAAGTTTTACTGTGTGTATGTCCAACCTTAAACAATATAGTTCTGTCTTTTAAAAAATTTATTTTAGCCGAAACCAGTTTGGCTCCAAACAATAGGACCACAAGGAGGAACTCAGCAAAAGGAATCATGCTGGTTGTTAATACACCACGTAATCACGAACAGAGGCTTTCTCACTCTCAGGTCAAGTGGGGCCTGAGGGGGCCACAGGGCACAAGAACTGGGGATCATACCAGGAAAGTTCCTAAGACACAACCATCACAAAGACAAACACACAACCACTGCCTGATCCCATAGAGGCTACCAGCTCTCAGTTCTGAGTAGCACTGTCCCCGAGTTGCAACACTTTCCAGGGAACATGACACCCAGGGACAGCTCCAGGTAAGCACTCTGCTGAGTCAAAGCCAAGGGAGCTTGCCTGTCTACCTTCAGGTGCCCGAGATTTGATTCACTCGGCCACATGACACACTGTTATGCTATTACTGGTACAAAGGATGGCAGGGCAGACCACTCCTCGCCCTACACCCATAAACTGGATACAGTGAGCTCACTACTCAGTAAAACTTCCCGCTTCTCTACTATAACTGTATCTACCCTTCTCTGTCCCCATCAAATCAAACAAAACACTATTTTTTAAATCTACTGCTTTAGTTTCTTTGGTTTGGTCAAGAAGTATGTGCACCTGTCAAATACACACACACCTGGAACTGAGGTGGAGTGGCAAGCAGCTCTAGCTCCGGTTCTGCTTGATTTTATTATTTGTCTGAAATAATGATTCCTATGTCTAGCCTCACAAATCTTTAAAGATAGAATGAGCATTCCTTTTCCTCATGGATAACTAGCTCCTTAGGTAACTAGCGCTGTATGATCACGCAACTGGACAATCTATTAGCCAAGGAAAACATTGTTCTAAGATGCTCTCCCAGAATGTGGTGTAAGAACTAACAGATGTATGCTAGACCAAATCAGTCTTTTTTAAGTTTCAATCCCACAAACAAGCTGATTAAAAAAATACCCTTCCTTCCTGCCCTGGCCTGGTGGCTCACTTGGTTGTTCTGTGCACCAAAAGGTTGCAGGTTTGATCCCGGTCAGGGTGAGAATGAGGGGCAATTGATCAATGTTTCTCTCTCACATCAATATTTTGTTCTCTCCCTAAAAATCAATAAAAACATATTTGGGTGAGGATTAAAAAACAAACAGCCCTAGACGGTTTGCTCTGTGGTTAGAGGGTCAGACCAGAGGGTCTCAGGTTCAATTCCCAGTCAAGGGCACGTCCTCGGTTGCAGGTTTGATCCCCAGCCCGGTTCAGAACGCATATAGGATGCAACCAGTCAAATGTGTCTCTCACATCAATGTTTCTCTCTCTCTCTCTCTCTCTCTCTCTCTCTCTCTCTCTCTCTCTCTCTCTCTCTCTCTCTCTCTCTCTTCTCCCTCCCTTACTCCCTTCTTCTCCCCTCATTCTCTCTCCCTGGGGATTGAGCCCGCAACCCAGGCACGTGCCCTGACAAGGAATAGAACTGACGACCTCTAGGTGCATGGGACAACACTCAACCAACTGAGCCACACTGGCCAGGGCAAGAAAAATGTCTAAATGTGTGATCTGTACACAATTTCAGGAATCTCAAGGAGTCCATGGTACAACTGGGAGAGCCTCTCTGCCAGAGCCAGTATTCTACCATCAGCCTTTGCATTCTCAGTGGCTACACCCAGCCAATGTCTGTTGATACAGAGGGAAAATTCAAGAATGACTGAGCAACCCTTTCTCACATTCTAGAACTCTGATGGCAATGGATAACCTATACCAGAAGATATGTGAAAGGATTAATATATAAAAAAAGAAAATTTAATCAGAAGAGCAGCTTCATAAGAACAGGCAGAGGCCAAAGAACCTGTGAGTCACAAAGGCCTATACCTGGGGGGTTGGTCCTCTTAGGCATGTTCTGAGGTTCTTCCGTTGGTCCGAAAATATTCGATGCCATCCTGTTGGGTCGACTTGAAGGAACAACTTCTTCTGGACTTCCAAAAAGATCACTCGATGCTCCTCCGGGGGGCTGCATGCCCCTGCAAGCACAGAGCAAGCGTGAGAGATGGAGACTGACCTGGACTTCAATGTCCATGATTATTAACGTTTATGGAAAAATTATACACCGCAACTACTCCAAACTGGCATGGCTAGTTTACAGATGGCCATATGGCAGACTTCCTCTACTGCCCTTAAGGTTTCCTTAAAAGTTTTCTCTGTATGTCTTGATTATGCCAAAAACCCACTTGAAATGTGTATGTTTTAAAATTATTCCTGGGACTTCTTGTAAGTGAAGTTTCCCTAAAACAGGCAATTTTGCACCACATTCAGTAGAATTTAATACAAATTTTAATTAGTACACAGTAAATACATTCAGTGGTGTTTAGTACAGTAGCTTACATTTGCCAAATGCTTAGTATATGCCAGCTATTGTTTCAAAGACCTTACACACAGCCCTCTAAGGCAGGCATTGTTTTCACAGACCATGCATCTGAGATAGAGAGAAATCACAAGATAGGTTACACAAGGAGTGGCAGAGCCAGGACCCAAGACCAGGAGGACTGCATCTGGAGCTCAGACTATGCCCGAATGCCTCTTAAAGAGCTCCAAGAAAAAATGAAGGGAGCTCACATTTAACCACAGATCAAGTCTGACCAAAGAGTTGGGTCTTCAGAAGGGCAGCCACTGGCCACTGTGGCTAGTGAGCACTTGGATGTGGAAGTAAGGACTTAAGTGTACTTAACTAGACTACACACCAGATTTCAAAGACAAAAAGGCAAAATATCTCTTTAATCTTGTCATTTATATAGATCACAGGTTGAAATAGTGTTTTGTATAGGTTGAATTATGTCTATTAAAATTAATTTTTCCCAATTTTTTTTCCTTTAAAAATTTAAATGTGGCTATTAGAACATTTAAAATTCCTTATTAGTTTACATTTTTTTATTGGAAAGTGTCAAGTTTGACTATGGCGAGTGCCACCAACATTAATCCAGGTGAGTCCTGAGAATCTACACCAAGATAATCACCTCTGGTCCTCCAGTCCAGTATAACCAGTGAAATGTCGAACATCAGATATCAGAGAACACACCTGCAAGCACCACTGTTCATTTCAGATCAACACATATGCACCATGTCATCTCTAAAACATCAATGGCTGCCCTAGTTGGTTTGGCTCAGTGAATAGAGCGACGGCCTGCAGATTGAAGGGTTCCAGGCCCAGGTTCGATTCCAGTCAAAGGCACATGCCCGGGTTGTGGGCTCAATCCCCAGTAGGAGTGCAGGAGGCTGCCAATCAACGATTCTCTCTCATCACTGGTGGTTCTATCTCTTTCTCCCTCTCCCTTTCTCTCTGAAATCAATAAAAATATATTAAAAATAAAACACCTATGGTTGATTAGTTTTAATTCAAGATATTTTATTTCCGAGAGGAGAGGAGGAGAAATGTCAATGAGAATCATTGAAAGGCTGCCTGCTACATGCCCCACACTGGCATTGAGCCCACAACCTGGGCAGGTGCCCTCGAATGGGGACTGAACTGTGACCTTCTGGTTCATAGGTTGACACTCAACCATTGAACCATGCCAGTCGGGCTGGTTGATTTTTATTATTATTTTTTTTTTGAGTCTATTTAATTAAAGCCGGGGACAGTCAAACAAGGAAGGGCTTAGGACAGAAGACACAAAAGGAGAGAGACTAGACAGGCTGCTTTGGCTCATTGGAAACTCAGAGAAAAGGAGCCTGAAACAGGTTCAGGCGTGAGCCTGGGATGAACACTGCTGCCCATTGCTCTCTGGGGTCCCTTAGTGTTTAGGAGACGCACGCCCGAGAGAAAAGAAAGGTGCAGGTGTGCTTTCCAGAGGAATAGTGTACATGAGTGTTGGTTTTAACACCTACAAAGAATAATGGCATTCCCACTGTTCAGCCAACAATAGCAGTATCTACCTGGAGTGTCCCTCTTGGGAGGATTTTTTTATTGTTTGAAGTATTACAAATAGTAGTATATGTCTCCTTTCCCCCCATTGACCTCCCTCCCGGCTTCCCCCCAACCCCTGGCACATGCCCTTACCTTCCTGGTGTCTTATGTCCATTGGTTATGCTTATGTGCATGTGTACAAGTCCTTTGGCTGATCACTTACACCAGGGGATTGTAAAGTGAACATTTACAACACTTGGGAGGTTGTAAAGTGAACATTTCAGAAGAGGAAGATCAGGACCTTGTCGCAATAACTGAAGAATTATATTTTCACAAAGCTCTGCCCCAATACCCCAAGTTTGTCTACTTTCACAAAGCAGCAATACAGCGGATTCATAGCATCTTTTTAGAACCCCTAGAAAGACTTTTTAAAGGCATCTTATAGGAAAAAGGGGCCTACTGAAATTGAGTTTTAAACTGGTGAGTGGTCCAGCTCTTTCACTAGTCCTAAGCAACACCATTTAGAAACAGATGAAATTACAGAGCTCAACACCACATGGATGCTCTGATTCGAGGTTAGGCCTCACTGGAAACCTACGTAAACACGGTCAAAGATTTAGTTCACAAAAATAGGGTATTTCAATGTTTCCACAAAAGAGCTAGAATGGGAGCTAATCATTCATTGTAACTTAAAGTGAACAGCTCTGAGAGTCCATGGCTGTAAAGCAGGACTGCAGAAAGCACTCATCTGCTCTACAGAGGCAGACATGCCAGCTCCGGCCAGGGGAGAGACCGGCAGGCCGGCTCTTCAGCACAGAAGCCAAGAGTGCAACTGGCAGCCTTCTATGTGGTGCCCATAGTTCCTGTCTGCTTTATGGAGGGCAAAGGTGGGTACCTGGTCAGCAGTTAGCATTTCCTTAAGGATTTATGAAGGAAAAAAAATTCAGTTTGGGGGGATTTTTTTTAAACTAACCAATAAGTAGACTTCAAAGACTTAACAGGACTGATCATGCACTTTGTTAGTGGACACGGTGAGGCCATGTGACCCCTGAATGCATTTATAAGTCACTGTGCCCAGTTCACAATGATATTCTTCATATTTTTCTTGGCTAGCTACAGCAGGTACAACATGGTTTGGGTCTTCACAGCCATCTCTTTGAAAAAGGGACTAGAGACCTGTAATCTTCAGAACGAAATTGAATTTAACTCCGTCTCATGCTGGCATCAGTTAAAATTCTCATTTTACTAACTTATTTGAAACATGGTTCTTCTTTCAAACCATAAAGGTCCCAGAAATTTGTCAGATCAGAGTCTGGGTAGACTCATCTTGATTCAAAGCTCTCAGGACACTTTTTTGACTCTCACATTCTACATTCTTGGATCTCCCCCTCACTCTTGCTTCATTCAGTTCAACTCATGTCCACTGAGCACCTATTGCTGGCAAGCCTGTGGCAGACACTGCAGATAGAAAGATGAGTGAGAGCAAGTCCTTGGCCCAGAGAAACTCCAGGTTTGCTGGGGAAATGGAGCTGTGCAGAGGCGGTTTCATGTCCTGTGAGCGATGCCGCAGAAGCACCGAGTGCTAGTGGACTCCAAAGACATCCTTGGAGAGGCCCAAACTGAGTCTGTGATCTCCGTGAGGAAAGTGCCTTTGGGGCACAGGACAGAAACCACAGCTCTGCTCGAAATGACGAAATGTTAAATTGGGGTGGTGGAAATATAGTGTTTATCCTATTACTCTCTGTACTTTTGTGAATTTCATTTTATTTTGAAAACAAGTGAAGAAAGACTAGTGGTGCCAATGATACTACAGCAGAGATTCCTATGCATAACAGACAAGCTCCGTGAGAAGAGTCAGCAACTATCTCCATCACAAAGGCAGGCACACAGCCTCCGGGGGGCAGTCACACCAACAGCCAGGCTGCCCCTACAGGGTCTCAAATCAATGGGGCCAAGAGGTAAATAAGACATTTCAATAAAAACCCACAAGGGCTCAATGTGGCACAACCAGTTGAACTGTTATCACTATGACACTAGGTTTTGGGGAGGAGGTGGGAATTCTAGTGCTCGAAGACATTTTGGGGATATGGCAGGGCTGCCTCCCAGTTACTTCTTCATTTTGTAATGTCCTTTCAATATATGTCAACAAAGATTTTCAAAATACAAGAGGAACTCAGGGGCATGTGACAGGAAGAGAAAACAGGCAGTTCCGGGACTATGGATAGCATGAGCAGAGACCTTCCATCTCGGCCCTGTGTCATAAAAGCTTGTGGGGCTTGGTGAAAAGTAGTGAAACAGACTTGCATTAAATTTCTTACAATTATACACCTTATAGCTTAAAGGAAAGACCTTTAAGTTAATGATGGCTAAAGTAAAATGCTTTCATAGTTCAAAATCCCTTTAACACAAAATCATCCCGTATCAAGAATACAGAGATGCAGGTCCGAGAGAAGAAAACTGGCTGGGTGATCAATCCTACACCACCACTTGGTTCCCTCCCGACAGAGCCAATTAAAGTGTGAATCCTACAACGCTGTAGCTCCGTGGTCGGCAAACTGCAGCTCTCAAGCCACACACGGCTCTTTGGCCCCTTGACTGTGGCTCTTCCACAAAATACCATGGCCCGGGCAAGTCTACTTTGAAGAAGTGGTGTTAGAAGAAGTTTAAGTTTAAAAAATCTGGCTCTCAAAAGAAATTTCAAATGGCTGTACTGTTGATATTTGGTTCTTTTAACTAATGAGTTTGCCGACCACTGTACTAGTTAATCAATTCCTTTAAGAAGGGGTCAAATGCAAAGCTTCCAACAGATCCCAAGCAGGGCTCCCAATTACATGTAATCATCCAATTAAGACTTCTTTTCCTTCTTCAATGCCCTGAAAGGAAGACTTTTGTACCTGCAAACCGGTCATAACGTTCTCTCCAAAAACGAATCTCCCAAAGAAGTGTGGAGTGCTCCCTTAGAGCACCAGCTCTGAGCTAACGTCTGTCGCTCAAAGTCAGCATTCTATCAGTGACTCATGGCGTTTTCTCCTTAACCAGCATTTTCTGGGCATCCAATGTCAGGCAGCGTAAACAGGGAGGGGATGTACTCCATGAACACAACTGGGAAAGTGCTGGGGAGAAGCTGGTGTGGGTGGGGCAGAACAGCAGTCACCAGGAGCCTGATTCATCCTGAGCACTCACTCCGGAGAAATTTCTGGCTCCTTATCGTTATAGAGTTAGATGCATTGTTCCATGGATTAATGACCACTTACTTCGTTAGGTGTACTGAATACTGACCTAACGCCCCCAAGTTTACAGTCTTTTATTTAGTACCTAGTCTATACAGTATTTATCTTAACGGTGTACACACACACACACACACACACACACACACACACACACTCCCTTCTCTGATGGGAAGGCTGGGACCCTGAAGAGCTCACAATAAAGAAAACTCTTGGGCATCTGAAGACCCAAAACTTCACAATGTAAGCTGGCTCCCCAGTGGCATGACAGACCTGGCCAGCTCTGACAACTCTGACTTATCTGACTTCCCATGCACAGAGCGCTGTGACTTAAAAAGCGTGCTGCCCTCCCTGGCCACTGCGGTTCATTCCGTTGGGAGGTCTAATGCAAAGGTTGCCGGTTCCATTCCAGGTCAGGGTCCAGGCCCAGATTCCTGGCTTGATCCCGGATAGGGGGTTGTACTTTGCTCACACATGGATGCTTCTCTCTCTCTCCCCCCCTAATTCTCTTAAAAAAAAAAAAAATCTCTAAAAAAGAACGCGTGCTGCGGTGTATTCCTGAATGTGGCCGCCCAGCCGAGACCTGCAATGGAAATCTCCGTTTCTATTAACTTGTAGTCCTGCCTAGTTCATCAACAAAGCAGGGAGGGCAGTGCCCGGCCTACCTCCCAGCGCTGCAGGATTGGAAGGCACCGCTCCGGGATTACGGGAAGGCCCCACCTGACCCAGAGGCAGGCTCCGGGATTAGGGGCGGGCTCCACCTGGCTCCCCGGTGCGGGAGTAAGGAAGGGTCCGCCGGGCTACCGGGCTGCGGGGTTCGGAGTGAGCTCACCTGGTCCCACAGGGCTGCGGTGTCTGGGGAGGCTTTCAGGATGGTGCCCTTCCCCAGAGGCCCGCCCACCCGCCACCGGGCTCCCGCACAGGCACCAGGAGGGCGCCCCGCAGCCCGGCACATACCCGCCTTGTCCCGGCGCACGGAACTGCCCACCGGAAGCAGCAGGCCACTCTGCCGGCATCTTTTCGGGGCGCTACAGACGGAGCATGTGCGAAGGAGCCCCGCAGGCCCTTAGCCCAGCCGCTGGCGGGCCCGGGAGCACGTCCGCGTGTGCGCCCATCTCCCCGACGCGGAAGCGGAGGCCGAGGTTTTGTGAGATCACCCGCAGGCCTCCCGCCGGCCGCGCCGCGCCCTCGCCCTCGCCCACACCGCGCCCGCGCCGTACCTGGAGCTGGCTCGGCCGCCCTCGCTCTCCGGCACATGGAACATGTCGCCCGCTGCTCGGTGCCCGGTCGTCTGCCGCGTCGCGGTTCCCGCCCGGCAACGCGTAGCTTAGAGGTTCACCGGCCCGCCCTTAAAGGACGACGCTGATGCCACTCATGCCGCCACACCCTATCCCGGCGCGCGGCCCCGCCCCCTCTCCGGACGCGAGGGCGTGTGGAGGGACGCGCTCGCAGCCGATTGGTGAGAGCAGGTGCCGCTGACGGCGTCGGGCGTCAGGATTGGGCAACAGGCCTGCAAAAGGCAGGCTGACTCCGAGGTGGGCGGGGTTAGGACGTAGGTCCGTGCCACTAGCGGCCACGCCAGAGGCCCCTCCCTCTCTCCGCGGGAACCTCTTCCTGGGCGGGAGCCGGAGTGACCTAACCGGCCGGGGTGGGAGGAACAGGGTAAAGTCTATACTTAGGCGGCAACCGCTGCCCCAAGGCCTCTGACCCGCTGCTTTGGGATTTTGCAAACCGGTCAGAGACATCCGCTAGTTGACAAAAGGGCGCTAATCAGAATTATGTGTTCAGGGATTCAGCAGTTCCTGTCCTGATCAGTCCTAGGGGATGGAAGGGCCTCATAGACTTACTCAGAAATAAGAGAGCAAGGGGTAAATTGCGCCAGTTCCCTATTTGTGACTCAAAAGAACAAAACACACAACTGGGGGTGTTCTGTTGCTAAATTACACCGCAGACAACCCATCTATTCTGAGATATCACCCAATGAAAAGCACTTGAGCTTTTTTGTTAATCTTCACCCAAGGATATTTCCCCATTGATTTTGAGAGTGGAAGGGAGGGGGAGAGACAGAAACATGGATGTGAGAGGCATAGATTGGTTGTTTCCCACACATGCCCAGACTTGGGCAGGGGTTTGAGCCTGCAACGTAGGTATGTGATTTGACTGGAATTTAACCCCGGACCTTCAGTCTGAGGGCTGACCCTCTATCCATTTAGCCAAACCGGCTAGGTTGAGGGTTTTTTTGTTTGTTTGTTTTTAAATCCACACCAGTGTATATGCTTAGATATACATATATCAACATGAGAACCATTTATCAGTTCCCCTAAGGATGAGGTAGGATAGAATCTGAAATCCAGGTATGTGTCCGGGCCAGGAATTGAACCTGCAGCCTTTCAGTGCAAAGGACAATGCGTAAACAACTTGCACTGTTTCTAGCCCTAGCTAGTTTGGCTCAATGGATAGAGTGTTGGCCTGTGGACTGAAGGGTCCAAGGTTTGATTCCGGCCAAGGGTCCATCCCCAATAGGGGTGGAGCAGGAGGCAACCAATGATTCTCATATCATTGATGTTTCTATCTCTCCCTTCCTCTCTGAAATCAATAAAGAAGTCTTTTTTTTTTAAAAGTTAATACTTAAGAAAAAGGCAGAAACAATAATTATTAGATCAAGTATTAGTATGTATTTATGCACAATAATAAAAACAGATTTACAAGTTAAACTGGAAATTTAAACATAAGAAGTTTAACAGCTTTTGTTTATTATATTAAATAACCAAAACACCTTTTATTCCCAAAATTGGTAAAGAATAAATAATGTAATTTACAATATGGTACAAAAGTAATCAGGAAGGACAGGCATTCCGCTTTATACATACACTGTATATGTATATTTATTATCTATTAAACAAATTCACATCTCAAACAAGCCGAAAACCTTAGATGATATGGCTTAACGATTATTAAAAGAAACAGCAGGAAGTTCTGCTGCCTAGACCAGAAGCTCTGGAGCCGGTTATCCTGTTACAGAATGCAGGTACAGGTTGCTGTAGTGCTTCCAAGACTGAACTGACTTAACATGACTTAGAAATTACTGTGGGGTTAGGAGAGAGATTTGACAGTCAGGAAAGGTCTGCTTTCTTTCCCCTCTAAGACAAAGTGCACTATTTCCTCACAAATGCATGTGATTGGTCTCAAAATTTTCAACAACAAAAACCCACAGCCGCTGCTGTTCTCGTCCACTTATTTCCAGTGTTTCTATTCCATAACTTTTCTCTGCACAGGTTTGGATTGGATGGTAAAAAAGCTATTATACTGAAAAGGAAACCCGTCAGTAGTGACACAGGATGATAGTGACACAGAAAGAGCGGGACTCTGAGGCTGAGAACCCAGGTGTAGAAAAGCAAGTAGATCAACTTATGAAATATTTCCAACTATCCCCACTCCCAGAGCAAGTGCTCTACACCTAGAAGATACAGAGAAATAAAAAAAATGTGATCTAAACCTCAGGTGGAACCATAAACTTCGATCTGCCCCTGCATTTTCTAAAGAAGAAAATGCTAACCACTGGATAGTCACAATAAGAATTAAGGCTACACTACCAACTCCATTGAGACCAGAGAGAATCTTCAGTCTTTATAAAAGATGAATCAGCAAAAAGATGCCAGGCATTAGAGTGACCATGGAAACAGGTCTCAGAAACTGATCGACTCTTAATTATAACATGCTCAAATGCACAAGGAAGCCACAGGTGCATACTGAGACCGTCGACTTCCGCTGGAAAGGCAGAGAAAGATGCAGCAGGTGGGAAGCTTGGGTCTTTTGAAAATCCCAGCCTTTAATAATGTTTGTGTGTGTGTGTGTGTGTGTGTGTGTGTGTGTGTGTGTGTGTGTTCTTCACCTTGCTTTTCATATCTGTTTTGAGTTGAAAAGGATTCCACTTAAAAAACATCTCCTACAGGTCAACAGAGCTTTTCTTCTCCATCCAACCATACAACATACCCACCATCCCTTAACTTGCCAATTTCTAAATTTAAGTAAACAGGAAAGCGTTGCGTCTCACACCTGGGTTATGCCTGGAGAAACTGGCTTGTCACATACACACTTCTCTGGTTGCTAGGGAAGCAGCAGAATTCTCTGGAATTTTGTGAGTTTTATTAGAGGTGAGAAGAGTCAGTCTACTTTCCTCCCTAGCCCACTTCCCCACTGAATGACACTGGCCAGTCAGGTACTCCCAAATGGATTCTATGCCAGAAGCCCAGGCAGGGGCTGCAGCTAAATAGCTACAAAAGCTGATCCGAGTCTCCAGAATTTTTCTCCTTTTAGATGTCACTGGGTGACAGGTGCCAACATACCAACTAGACTGCCTTGAGGTGACACTGATGAACAAGCAACTCAGGATCCCTACTGACTCTGGCACAGTAGACGCTGCCATTGGGCATCACATACAGCTCTAATGTTACTTGGGGTTCTGGTCCCAGACAGGGCAGGAGTATGGGGAAGCTAGTCATGGCCTAAACTTGGCGTGGTCTATTATCCTACTGCAGACCTGACACGGCCAGATGCCCAGAGAGTGAGAGAGAGATCGATCCTGATATTGTTCAGCTCAATATAAGGTGCTAATTTCAGAAAGCTGATATATTGACCACAAAACACAAGTAGCTTAAAAATACTCTGGTTCAATGCTGTCTATATCTTTTAATAAAGTGGTAGTATATCCCTTTCTTCCATATCTCCAGAGCTTTGAGACTTTTCCTAAGAGCTTAGAAGGCTTTTTTTTTTTTTTTTTTTTTTGGTGATGTTGGTGCCTAGAACCAGATCTAAAAGGAAGCCACATTAGAGGCAAAAGCTTCAGAAACAATTGAAACAAAGAAAAGAAGCTATTGCCTAAAAGCCAACTGTCTTGTTTCCTCCATGCCTGGGAGCAAAAGGGCTGCAAACAGCTGGTGAGACAATGGGGTCAAGAATGTCCACTCTTCTGGCACACACACTAGACCTTTCCTCTCCTTTCCACACAGGCTGCTCTCTCATTGTGGCGAAGACTCTGGAGAGGACCAGGACTGCCTTGCTCCTGCCATTGTGGAGGATCAAGAGCTGCCATATTCCACCGGTCAGGAGAAGTGGAATGGTGAGCAACAGAAACGAAGACTGGTTCAGGTGGATGATCCTGGCTGTTGGGGGAGGGTGAAGCAGCAGGTGGGATGGTGGCTCAGGAATTACTAGTCCAACACAAGAGCACTGGCTTCTGGCCTCACATAACGTGGCTGAAGAGTGAATTAAGTATTGAGTTTTCCCAAGGCTGAGCAAACACGGGAGCCTTGTTAGCCCCATTCTGGGAAAGAACTGGACACTGGACTACTTGCAGTGGTGACAACTGGTCGCCCAAGGAGGCTCACTGAGTACAGTACAGGGATGTGGTAGTGCTCCCACTGCATCAGGATGTATGATCCTCGTCTGCATTCCCTGAACAGGAAGGAGCAAAGTAAGAGACCACTGGGCAAAAGGAGACATGGAAGGTTAAACCTGCAAAGCACAGTGTGGTCTGCGCTGAGCCAATGAAAGGAAGAGAAGACTGAAAAAAAGAAATTCCCCGGCAAAGTACATTTGTCTCAGATGCTAAAGAGTAACACATTAGAAATTCAAGGACTCATCAGCAAAGTCTTAACTGTGGTTAAACAAGTGCTTAGGATTGTCCCAATAAAGAGAAGTAGCATTATAGATCACCTAAGAATAAACTTGTAGATGGATGCAAGAAGGAAACCAACTAAATTGGTTTACCTTCTCATTGTCTAATTCTTAAAACACAAGAAAAACATTCTCCAACCAGCTTAGCAGGATTCTTTTCTGAAGTCCATATAACCTGGACAAGACATGATTTCCCCCCCCCCATCCTGTCCAGAAAACACATCTAGATAGGAAAGCACCACGCAAGGATCAGTATTTCTGAGGTGATGGCTCCAGTTACGCTGTCCTGGAACCCTTCTGCTGTCCTGTGATCAGTGTCCCCTGTCTTAGGGTACAGATACCACCAGGCAAAGCCCAGGCCAGACCCAGCTGTCCCGTCTCCCCCTCCCATCATCACTCTGCAGAGAAGCAAAGTGTGGTTCAGGGTTGGCAGAAAGAATGCAGCCGTGACCTGGAGCCTCCTTATAGAGAGCAGGAGATTACAGCTCCCCAGGGCACAACAACTCGGCTGGGGCACACACGTTTAGCTTCCAGAAAGAAAACCCACTAAACTGTCCAACACAACTACCAAGGCCGATCCAAGGGCAGAAATGGGGTCATTACACAGACCCCAATGTGAGATCCCACAACTGGCGAAGAATGGCTCCAATGCCAGTGATGTATGACATTCCAGGACTCGTCCTCATCTCTCGGGCCACTACTGCCCTCTCCCCGTTGGGATACAGCTTCTAGCATTTTGTATATTCTGGGGTGCAGAGGTGTCTCTATTCTGACCATCTTCTGGGGGTCCTGGGCTTGATTTGTATTTTCTCTACACCTATCACAGTTGAGGACTAGACCACCAGCCCTGTAAGCTCTCTTTTGATGCCTCCAGGATGCCCCCACCGCGAGGCACGTTGTATGTTCACTGGGATAGGTCACTGACAGGGGGGCCACTTCCACTGCCATCAAACAGAACCTCTCGGCGGCTGGGCTCGGCAATGGACAGCTCCTGGGCCAAGTCGTTGAATCGAGATATATAATCAACGCTGTTTTCATTCATCATGCACACCAGCTGGGAATCCACGACCTGTGGGCAGAGGACACAAGGTAAGACACATCAGCTGGTGGTGGCCTGCCAACTAGACTGGAGGAGACTCGCCACCATCAGGACTTCCAGGAGAAGGTGAATGAACTCGGGTCTCTCTATGGTGAGGATTGGAATCTCCCATCAACTTGCCATGTAATGGTGGCCTAGTCCTCTGGGGAGAGTCTCAGAATCGCCCAGTGTTTGAACTCTCACTGTTTTGACAGGTGTGCAGGAGAGCCTACTGTGAGGCTGGCACAGCTGGTTGCCGGGAGCAGAGCAGTGCTTCCCTTTATATGAGATCTGTCAGGGAAGACAGTCAAACGAATAGGCCAGCAGCAGAGTGGAAAGCAGAAACTGCGGGGTGGCCTGGAGACGTAAGAGGAGAAAGGGGACAGAGTTTGCCATGGGGGAAATGGGAAGCACATTCCTATTAGAAGAAACAGCAAGTGCAAAGGCCCTTCCAGAAACAAGAAAGCTGGTGGATGTGACCGTAAGCACAACCGCTGAATAAGAAAGAGACTTAAGTGTGTACAGCGGGGCCTTGGGTATTGGGATTTTTTTTCTGTGGACAAAAACACGGAACATTCTGCCATACGGTCTTCAGGATTTACTGTCTTCCTTCTCTGCTGGAGTGAAAGCCGCATGAGGACGGGCCTTTGCTTCATTCACTCAGTTCCTGCAGCAGTGCCTGGCACATCATGAACAAAGTGCATGATATAATGAGATAATAAGCCTTGGAAAATTCTGAGTAGAGCCTGAACCGAATTTTAAATCTTTTATTGTGAGAAATATAAAACAAATTTAAATTTGTTTTAAAAAAGTAGAGCAAACCCTGGCAGTTTGGCCCAGAGGTTGGAGGGTTGGCCTGTGGACCAAAGGGTCTTTGGTTTGATTCCCTGTCAAGGACACACACCTCGGTTGTGGATTCAATACCCCTCCCCAACTGGGTTACATGTGGGAGGCAACGAATTGATGTATCTCTCTCACATCGTTCTTCCCCTCCCCACAAGCCACCTCCCTCCCTTCTGCTCTGTCTGGAAAAAAATATCCTCAGGTGAGGATTTAAAAAAGAAGGAAAAAAGTAGAATAGCAACTGTTTTCTCCCCACATATCCATCACCCGCTTCATCAATCTATGGCCCATCTAGGCCCACATCTCCCACCCATTTTTTGCTCCCATCACTTTTGTTCAAATCTCAACATCAGATCATTTCAGCCACACATTTCAGAATGCACTTCTAGATGATAAGGACTATCAGTATCTAAAAAACACGCTCATGTTTTTTGAGTTGGAGAGTTCTTGGTCAGATCTTTGTGTTAAACAACTGCTATTTCTGGAGGTAAATATGTTACTAACTATGGATTTAGTTCATAAATAGTACCCGTCTTTGTTCTGTGCTGCTCACCTTTGTGTGCAACAGGCCACCCAGAGATCTTGTTAGAAATGCAGGTTCTGGTTCGCTGGCCCTGGGGTGGGCCCGAGAGTCTGCCTTCTAACAAGTCCAAGGTGTTCTGCAGCGGGTCCAGGTGTGTCGTTTTGGGATGTTTGTGCAGCGGCCACTTCCACAGGAGCCAGGGCTTATAAACAATGTCCACATAGACACAGGAAGGGAAAGAGACCAGTCTCGTGTGGACATTACAGTCACAAGCTGTTCTCTCAACAAAGGTTCTATGGCTACAGAAACGCTCATTGAGGGGGAGGAAATGTACTATATTACTCTGTTTAGTTTGTATTTAGGTGAAATTTCCATTCATGCTACGGGCTGGCTTAGAATCCTCCAAAAAGCCTTCCCACAAGCTCCTCAGATATTAAAACTCACATCAGGATACTGAGAGCTGAGGAGGTCAGGGGACACCCCAAGAATCAATATATATAAAAGGGTAATATGCTAAGTGCCGGACCCTCTGACTGATTGCTGTGATGCGCACTGACCAGTAGGGGGAAGATGCTCAATGAAGGAGCTACCAAGCTGCAGTGACTTGGCAGTGACAGTTCACGGGTGATGCACCCTGAAACCAGAGAGTAGGGAGCCCAATTCCTCGCAGAGCCACGCAATTCCACCTTTGGCCATGGGTTATGTTGTTGCTGGGGCATTATTGGCCCCAAATCTGGCTTACTGCACACTTGTGTTTGTGTTCCAAACCCTATGACAGCAACTTTGCAGAGTGCCCTCTCACACTCTGACCACTCAGGGAATGTCAGAGAGCCAGTTTAAGCCTGATCTCCATAGGCCAAGCCGAGGGACCCCACCTGCCAGAGAGACCTCACTCACTCCACAGATGCCCGCCCGCTGAGCCACAGCACCACCCCAGGTGCGGCCGGCCAGGGAGGACCATGGAGGTTGGCTCCAGGGCATGTCTAGCCCATGTTGCCCAGTCCTGTCCTGCCAACCACCTTCCAATTAATGTCCTTTAAATGTGCATGAGTCTGTGCACTGGGCCACTAGTCTTACTATTAAATATAAAACCCCGAAGGACACCTACCAACAGCTCGGCATCTCAGGGAGCCAGATTTGGGAATGCTGCTCCAGTACTTTAACAATAGGACCAAGCCCGTGTGGCATCCAACATGTGGAATCTCTTCACTTTAAGCATATCCTCTGCCTAAATTATTCTTTCAGCACATGTTACTTCATACCTTGCCTTATAGTTAAATGTACCTGTCTCTCCTCCTTCAATAAGTGCACATCCTTGCAAGCCTTTCTTGCTCAAACAACACTCATGACATGTTGGATCGGGCCTGGGTGGCTACATGAGCAGATAGCTTGGCCTAAGAAAGAGGGACAACTGCATCCTGGTCCAAAGATGAGGGTCACAAACTGAGCCTTGCCTGCACATCGAGGGTCTGCCATTATGTGATTTTTGTTATCATCACCCTCACCATGAGAGGAGCCTGAGGGAGTATCTGTGCCTTTCCTGCAGAACCCATTCTCCTGCTTGGGAAGCAGCAAAAGTAACGAAACAGGGAGGGGCTGTTTGAAGGCCCTCTCCTGTCAGGTACCAACAGTGATGACAAAGCCACCTACAAGTGCTCTTTACTCTTCTACCAATGGCATCAGCCCCGCACAGAGGCAGCATTACCTGCCTGAGATCAAGCGGCTGGTGTAGGCCACAATGAGAGCCAATCCCTGCTTTGGTCGCCTGCAGAGCTCCCACAGTCAACCCTGAAATCCCAGCTTTTGACGCCTTCAGAGCTTGGCTATTACTTTGTTTGCCACTACAATTTCCCTTCTCAGAAGCCAGAAACCTGGATGTACATGTGCTGGCCCCAGGTTTTAACATCTTGATGAAAAATTCTTAATAACAAACAGGTATGCTTGAGGGACTTGGCCACCTCTGGAATAAGGGCATAAGATTGTGTACTTACCTCTGCCACATCGGCCAGGGATCTGGACACAAACGAGTCTCTCGAGTTTCCATCTAGCAGGCTGGGGCCCAGCAGGGAGGTGCCACTGTGGGTCCCCACTGGAGTCGGCAGCATCTTTCGGCCTTTCTCTGAGATGAAGCTCGCTGCCAAGAGAAGGAGGATCAGCCCTGAGATGAGGGAAGAATCCTGAGGGCTGGAGGTTCCCTCGCCAGGCCCATACAGACATTGATCTGCACGCGTGCACACAGTGCTTGGTGTGGAGCTGTAGCCAACATAGCTTTTCTCAAATGAGGAGCCTTGGAGGGTCCTCAGAAGCACATGCAAGTAGGCCTCATATTTTAGGGGCCCTCAGTGCTCCACTATCCAGTCACCACTCCCACCTCCATGTAATGTGATTTCCCATTTTTCACGATTTGTATTTGACTTTGCAGAGATCCGTACTGTTCTATGGACCTCTTCTAATAGGAAACACTCATCGGGTGCTGGCTCCCTGCATCACCCAAACCAGACCCACATTCTGGGCCATCAGGTATGGCGTCCACAGAAGGTACTGACCCTGTCCAACATGTGTACAGCACATCCCCTCTGGGGCTGCAGTCTGATGGCCATGTGCATGTGCTGGCTGTGCTCTAAAAATGCAAAGCGCATGAATCCCAAACGTGTTCTGGAGCCCCTCTTACATAAGACACTGAGATCATTGTGTCTTTTCCTAACATCCCCTTCCCATCACACGAACGCCTGGTGCCCAACGAGGATGAACACATCCTGTGAAGGTGCCAAACTGGTCAGCATGTCACAAGACAGCACATGTACATCCAGGTTTCTGTCCACATCAGAATACTTTACTGAGAACAGAAAGAGGGAAGCCAATTTCTTCTACCCTGCCGATGGTGGGAAGAGCAGAGCAGAGTTGGCCGGACTAGAGAAGAGCACAGGGGACTGTGTGGGGAGATGGATGTGGGCTACATCACAATTGGGCTGTGGGTTACAAGAATGTCATGTTTGCCAAAGCTCAGTGAACTGTACACTGGAGGTCTGGACATTCTCCCAAATGTAAGTGGTGCAGAAAACAAGCAAACAGTCCTAGTGGGAGTTCTACCAGATGGCAAGGACAATCCAGACTCTAGACCCCACCAAGTTCACCATGTGGAGCCCTGCTCGTCCCTGCTGGTCTGGGACAGAGACCTGAGCACCCCCCCCAGACACTCACCAAACAAGCTGCCGAGGGACGAGTCCGTGGGGTCGCTGGGGCACCACTGGGGGTCATGGGTGGGGGAGGCAATCCAATCTGGTTGGGGGCTGCTGGATGGTGAAGGAAGACTCTTGGAACTGTCACTGCCATTTAGTTTTGCTGGAGAAAGAGGAACTCCTTCACCTGTCAACCAAAATCCTGGGTCAGAGACGCCACATGGGGGTGAACAGCACTCTGCTTCTCCAACCTACCACTAAGGCAGCGAGTCAGCACAGCTGTGTGCCAATGAACTCTGGAGGTCCGGGATCCCTACAGATGATGAACAACACTGATCTGTGGAGGGGATCCCCTGCAGCAGGAACACATACCCATCTTAGGGAACGACAATGGCCACAGCTATCACTAATGAGCCAGGCACTATGCCGAGAGCTTCACCTAAATCCTCTTATGGCTGCTTACAATAGCCCTGTGAATTACATGCTATTCCCAGTTCACAAATGAGGGGTGACCTGCCCAAAGCCACTCACTACTAGCCTGTGAACAGTTTAAACTGAATCATACCAGCAAGTGCCAACCACACCACTGCTACCAGGATACAAATCCAACCCCTTCCTCGAACTTGCAAAACCCAAAGGCATCCACCTAGATTCATGACTAACTAGGACAATGGCCCATCTAATCCTGTTGGTCTCAAGGCCATGAGAACACACAGCTGTTGGTCCTACCCGTACCTTGTTCACCGGTGCTGCCTCTGCCTCTGCTGGGCAAGGCCATGTAGGTGGCAGGTAAAGTGGGAGTGGAATGGGAACATACCCAGCAGGTATGGCAAATGCTCATTGGGAGGTCAAGGACAAGCCTGCATCCCCTGTCCTAGTGGGGAATTGGTTCCAAGGAAGGTGTGCAGGGGCACCCTGTTCCTTACCGTATTGGCCAGAGCTGATGGCAATCTCAATGATGGAGTCGCTGATCTGAGTGGCAGGCTCTCCCTGTGAGAGCACGTCCTCAGGCGGGCCAGGCAGGGAGATGTCCAGAAGAGCAGACACGTTAGGCGGAGAGAGCCGAGTGCTGGAGCCTTCCGCCAAGGGCAACTGGGTGGAAAGCCCATTGTGCAGAGGAGCCTTGGATAGCTCAGTTAAGGAGAGGACAGGTGAACCCTGGTGGGAGATGGGCATTGTTTAGATACAATGGATCAATCAATCCCCTAATTCAGGAAAAATCAATCTCAACCCCAAAAGATGATTACCAAGTGATGGGCAAGTGGACAGAGAGGTGATGACCATAGAAGACACCTCTTCCTTTTTAGTAAGAAACACATTAACTTCTCCAGAAACTACTCTGGGGATTCAGAGTTGGAAGGCCAGGCCAATTGGGGGCCTTGGCCATGGTGCCCAGGACATCTGGACCTGCTTTCCCTGCCAGCTAGACAGCTGGTAACACCCAGGCTTCTAGGCACTGCCAGTTGATGATCTCCCCTTAGCCCAAGAAACTGATCTTCCAGAACTGTGTCTGAATCAGCCAGCCACGTGGAAGAGAAGAAACCTGAGACGGAAGATGCGTGCTCCTTCTATCTAGGGAACCGGAGGATAAAAGCACTGGATAGCCGAGTGTCCTTGTCACATCCTGGCTACTCACAGCAGGAAGGCTAGGTCTGCTGGCAAGACCATGAGCGCGGGGACTCAGCACTGGAGGGGGGCTCTGGGGCAGCTATTTTGCTCAGCAGCCAACAGCACACTCTACCTGGAAACCTTCCGTCACTGGCTCCTGCTCAGGCCTCGAGGGGATGCTGATGAATGGATCGCTTGTACCCTACAAGAAAAGATCACCGTGAATGCCTACGAGCCTTACAATCAGTATGCCAGAACTCTCTGCCCAATGGCTATTAAGCTCCTGAGACAAGAGCCATTCCACTCCCTGGCTTCCCCACAGCCACCATTACAGGAACCTATTGAGGTCTAGGTTGGAAATCTCTTCCTGTGAAGACAAGCAAGCTCACTTCTTCCAGAAAGTGGGCCAGGAAGTGACTGCACTTAAGATTATCAATTCAAAACCTCATAGTCCTCAGGCAGGGCTGGCCCGGAAACCAGAGCACTGAGAGAATTGGAGAGGAGTGGCAGTCAGGGGTCACTAGGCCCACTGTTGGTCCACTTGGTTAACCAAGCTGTTATCTGAGAAGTCTGCCAACATAGAGATCTTGCTTATCTCAGTTCTGGATTCTCCAGTGTCACCCAGCAAACCAGTCCCCACTCACTCTCCTTCCATGGTTCCCCTGAGCACGCAGAGCTCACGCTTGCCCCAGCCTCCCTGGTTGTGACTCCCCTCTGGTCCATCAGGCCCTTCCCACTCGTGAGGCAGAATTAGGGTCCAGCATGACATCAGCCCCATTATCTCAGCTCCCATCCCTCTAGAGAGTGACCAACCCATCCTGAAAGCTGGTGGTAACTCGAAGCCCTTCTAAACACTCACCCCCACAGTGGGGAGGGGGTCTCCATTCTGGAGGGCGCCAGTGGAGTCCTGACCCGAAAGGGTAGCCGTTGCCTCATCTGAAGACAGTGGAGAGATGCCAGACAAACCCTCAGCATCCAAGACAGGGAGGGGGCTCCCGGGGATGATGCCGGCACTTGTAGCTGCTAAGTCAACAGCACCTGCAGCAGAAAAGACATTGCCAATGTCAGCTCTACTAACATCCCCAAACATACTCCACAGCGGGCACAGGAATAGCCTCTCCCTCTCGCCTCATTTCAAGGCAAGGGAAATAGATTTCCTGTTTTCTCTGGAGGATACTGAGAGCATGGTTTGAGGAAAGAAGAAAACAGAAACATCATTCACAAGCCTCACATGGTGTCTGTCACCATGCCAGTCACAGAAACTTACTGGCCAGGTGGCCTGTGGCCTGAGGAGGAAGGACCTTGGGCATGATTGGCCGAGACAGAGCCGCTTTGGTGAGGGAAGACTGGATGGGCCGGAATGAGCCTCTACCTGCGAGGACAAAAACAGAAGCAGCCGCGTCAAGCCCACTTGCCCCTGTGCCCTCTGACTGCATGGCGGGTACTGCACAGGGCTGGCGTCACAGCCAGTTGGGACCATGGAAGCTGAGCCAAGGCAACACCATTGAACATCCCCAAAACATGCTAACTTGGGGAAGTCAGAGGTCAAACAAGCCCCCAATGAGGAGAAAGCTCTGGCACTCATGATGACAGCACCACTGTGGTCCGTGGGGCTGCTGAAAAGGATGCTGCCAGCAGTGTCATCCTTTGGGGATGGCCCTTTAAGGGTGATGCAAAGTGAAGCTACAAGCTCCTCTGAAGCAGCAAGAGCATCAAATCTTGGACTAAAATTCTGCCTCTGCAATTGGGCTCTTTCCTACTAGGTTTTCTGTAGATGAAAAGAAGGCATGAGGAAAAGCAATAAACAGCTGAATGGGTCCAGCAGTCAGTCAGTCTGAAATGTGAAAAGACTGATTTAAAAGCTAAATCAGAGTTATGTTTCACTGAATAATTCTCACTGAAGTAAGAAAATTTACTTCAAAGAGCCAGGGTTCCCATTGACCTTAGAGACCTATCTATGAAGGCCCGAGTTGTACATTTCCCCCCTAAAATGTCTGACAAAAAAAAAAAAAACAACACACAAAAACCAAACAAACCAAAACAAACTCAAAATAAAATAACGGACATTATACAGAGAGGGTGGACTGAACTAAGCAGAGCATCCCTAACACGGCTACCTGAGCCCAGGGAGGAAGCTGCTTGCGTTCCACGTGTCAGAGGGCCATGCCTGCCTGGCTCAGGGGCACACTCAGTCTCTGCTGACAGAATGGACAAAGGAATGCTGCAAATGCCACCCCAATAGCCATCAAAGCAAATGCCTGTCATCCCCGAAGACGAGGCCACATGAAAGTAAGGAGTGAAGAGCCAACCCCAGGAGACCAGTGCTTACCGGTGATGGAGGAATTTGACATGATAGAGAAGGAGCAGACGTTGTGGGACTGGTTTTCAGAAGGTCTAGGAAGCAGGGTTCTCTGTGGAGGGAAACTGCCAATCAGGTACTAAAAATCACTCAGGAAACTAGCAAAGACTTACAAAGAGATATTCCAGACAACAGTGAGCTGAGTTTGTAAGCAGATGGTTCTGGGTTCTAGGACTAATAACACAAGAGCGCCTGGGACAGTCTGAGGATAGCTATGTCCCGTGGACCCAGCAAGCTCTGAACATTGGGTCCTCTCTGAAAAAAATCCCGAGGGATCAAACCTTCCCCCAGGGAAACTGGAGGAATGTTAGAACCAGCGACTGTAAATTCAGAATGTTCTTTTGGATTTGGATGGAATGCAACTAATCATATATATATGTTTATAACTACTCTATGTGGACTATTAAAAAAAAAAACCATTCAATTATTCTGGGCCTCCTCAAATTAGGGGTATAAAAATAAAGTTGCTGCCTGTGACACTGACAGGCTAAAGGCCTGAGGCCTTCCACCCCATCTCACAGTCCCAGTGCCCACTCCTCCCTGTCTGCCCAAGACTCCTATCTATACTAATAATATGCAAATTGTCTAGAACGCCATCACAGTAACAGTAATGACCAGCAGGCTGCCTGGGGTGACAAGGCTGGGGGGGTGGTGGGGTGGGGGTGGTGGTGGTAAGTGAGGGATGACGAAATGATTGAATAGCAGGCTCTGGGGGGCAACAAGGCTGGCGGGGGGGGGGGGCAGTTAGGGGCGATCAGACAGGCAGGCCGGTGAGTAGTTAGGAGCCAACGGTCCTGGATTTTTGAGAGGGATTGGGCCTAAACCAGCAGCCGGACATCCCCTAAGAAGTCCCGAATTGGAGAGGGTGCAAGCTAGGCTGACGGGACCCCGCCCTGCACAAATTTCGGTCACTGGGCCTCTAGTGTATGAATAACTAAGGTCTAATGTGAAGAACACCATTTAAAGAAATTATATTAGCCTTGGCCAGGTAGCTCAATTAGAGCATCATCCATCCTAATATGCCAAGATTGAGGATTTGATCCCCGGTCAGGGCACATACAAGAATCAACCAATTTAAATGGAACAACAAATTGTTTTGTCTCTCTTTCTTTCTCCTCCCCTACCCTGCTTCCTCTCTAAATATCAAATAAAAAACTTTTTAAAATAATAAATTATATTAATAGCTCAAACTGTTATTCATCAAAGTAAAACATTAACAGAAAGTTTATGTCAACCAAAAAGTGGCTCTGGGGCACAGCTGCATCTCCACTAAGGGACATCTATCTCTGTGCCCCTCAGAGGCACCCCCAAAGTGTTGGCAAAGAGTAGAGGAGGTGTCACTAGGGCTGCAACCTCGACATTAGGTCTGCTTGGATGCTGCTGCTGCGGTGGCAGGGTGACCAGTTAACCAGGTGAGCCAGCTCTGCTCCAAATGCACTTTCTGAGAGGAATAACTAGGTAAGGAACATTTTAGGCTTTGGGGCCATATATTGTGTACTCATCTTCAGCTACTCATCTTCACCCTGGTGGTGTGAAAGCAGCTGTGGGCACTAGGGAAATAAATGACTAATTAAATGCTTAATGAAAACAGTAAATGTAAAGACCACATATTGTGTGTGATCCCATTTATATGAATGCCCAGAGCATGCAAATCAACAGAGACTAAAAGTAGATTTGTGGCTGCCAGGGACTGACAAAGGGGGCAATGCAGGTAATATGTACAGGGTTTCTGTTTGATGAAAATATTCTGGTATTAGATAGTTGTGATGCACAACCCTATGAAAAACCATGGAGCTGTACACTTTAAATGGGTAATTGCATGAGTTATATATCAATAAAGCTGTTAAAATAATCAAATATGCTAAAATCAGTGCATTAACACTAAATTACAGTTGGCCCTAAAACAGAGGTTTGAACTGTGCGGGTCCACTTATACATATATTTTTTTTTCAGTAACTACCTGTACTGTTTTCAAGTCACTGTTGGGAGTCTGCGGATCTAAAGGGCTGACTATATGTACTGACTGACACCATTTTATATAGGGGACTTGAGTATCCATAGATTTTGGTGCCCGTTGGGCATCCTGGAACGCATCGCCTGCAGATACTGAGGGACAACTTAAGTTTTGAAGGAGTCAAAAGTTATACACAGATTTTTGACTGTGCAGGAGGTTAGCAACCCTTACCCCGGCATTGTTCAAGACTTGTAGTCTACACATACACAACCCAGTTGGGCTTTAGAATACATCTTCTTTCCTAGGACCATCATGCAATCTCTCATTTCTATATAAATTAATCTCAAAATATTTCTAGGGGTCTAACAAAAGAGACCTATGCATTAATCCCAAAACAATGCACATTAATAACTTTCTAAGCCCAAAGTCATATTAGAATTTCCACTTCACCTCTTTTATCCTTTTAGTTTCAAATAAACTGCCCTTTTTCTCACATGTGTCTCATTCCTGTCTCCCTCTCTGGTCTGCATATGTCATCTACAGATCTACCAGGGTTTATCGTTATGGCCTATCCATATACCTTATCAACTGCTTCCACTGACTACATATTTACAATGAGACGTTCTGAGCATCCTCAAATATATCCCAATCCAAAACATTCTTAGGAGTCCCAAACTTTCTTTTTTGCAAGTGGTTATTGTTATATAAAGATTATCTTCTTTGTTTTGTTTAGTTAATCCTCACCCAAAGATATTTTTCCACTTTTTTTTTTTTTTTTTTTTTTTTTAGAGCCTGGAAGGGTGGTGGAGAGACAGAGAGAAACATAAATGTGAGAGACACATATCTATTGGTTGCCTCCTGCATGCACCCTGACCAGAGCCGGGGATTTACCCTGCAAATGAGTTTCATGCCCTTGACTGGAATCAAACCCGTGATCTTTCAGATCGAGAGCCAACACTCTAACCACTGAGCAAAGAGGCCAGGGTAAGATTATCTTTATTTTCAGGTACAGTAAGAGTCACTACTATTACTTTATTTATCCTACTCATAAGAAGGAAAAAAGTGGCAGGGATTATCCATTTCAGTTGAACACTCAAGACACGGGAGAAAATCAGTGCGTCGGGCAGCTTGGCCAAGGGGAGCCCAGCTAAGCAAACCTGACCAGGGTTTCTTACCTGGACCACCAGAGGCTTCCGTAGGTGCCGGTTCTGCAGTTTCCGGGGCTTTGGCAAGAAGAAATCCGACTGCATCTATGAGGAAAACAGTGCTCAGTCCCTGAGTGTTTTCACAGCAAACACGGTCTGCAGGCAAGCAAAGGGGCACATTCCCTGCACTTACGCTGATGGAGTTCAGGTGCTGAAGGAAAGTCAATTCTGTCTCTTTATTAGGAGAGAAGAGCTTCCCATGTCGGCTGTTGGGTGGCAAAGTTGTTGGGACAGCAAAAAGGCCACCATCTGAGTCACTGCTTCCTGTACTGGAGGAACCAGCCACCAAGAGGGGTCTTGGAGGGTTTCTCAAACCTAGAAAAGGAGAAGGGAAAGTGAATAGAACTACCCTCACCCAGCAACATCTCCAGTGTGAATGGAGTTCTACTGGAAAGAAAACCAAGAAAAATTCCTGACAACCTGTTCCATTTCCTAGAAAGGTGTTCCCTTTTTCATAGACGCATAAAACCTGCTTTTCCATCTTTCTCCCTGAAATTCTAGTTTCCATCCTGAGATCATAGCTCTTCCTGACAGGATAAAGAAACTTTACCATTCTGTTTGATCCTTGGTGGGAAAGGCAGCTAGGCATTCATTTTGCAGAGCTAGAAGAACCTAGCAGAACATCTAGTGTAGAAGAGAGGCCAGCAAACTCTCTCTTTAAAGATAATAAATATTGCTTTGTGGGCCTGCAGCCTCTGCTAATCTCAACTCTGCAGCTGTAGTTCAAAAGCAGCTACAGACAATATGTGTATGCACTAGTGAGCACAGCCATGTGCCAATAAAACTTTATTTACAACTAGGCCATGGGCCATAGTTTGCTGATGCCTGATCTAAATCTCTAATTATACAAAAAACCGACCCAGAAACAGAGGGGCAGAAAGTAGTTATTTAGGAACCACTATTTTGGAACTCTGCTAGCTGTTTTTATTATCATAGATGCTGCTGCAAAGTACCCTTGATTCGTGGTAGAATTGGTCTCCTTCCCTTTTTCTTCTTCTTCTTTAAGACATTTTTATTGATTCCAGAGAGAAAGGGAGAGGGAGAGAGAGAGAAACATCAATGATAAGAAAACATTATTGGATCGGCTGCCTCATGCACAACCCCCCTTACTGTGATTGAGCCTGCAATCCTGGCATGTGCCCTGACTGGGAACAAACTGTGACCTGGTTCTTAGGTTGAGACTCAACCACTGAGCTACACTGGCCAGGCTCCTTCCCTTTTTTTTTTAATTTGCAAATCTGTGAGATTACACTGATACTCATGATATCCAGAGACCAGGTCCACTAAGCACTAGTATGGATTCTAGCACTGCAGGTGGATTAATTTAGAACAGTGGTCGGCAAACCTCGGCTCCCGAGCCACATAAGGCTCTTTGGCCCCTTGAGTGCAGCTCGGTGTTAGAACCACTTCTTCAAAATAGACTGGCCCGGGCCGAAAACTGATGTCTGCGCATGGGCCACGAAGTTTCAATCGCACTGTATATGCGCACCCACACGTGGTATTTTGTGGAAGAGCCACACTCAAGAGGCCGAAGAGCCACATGTGGCCCTCAAGCCACGGTTTGCAGACCACTGGTCTATAAGCATACTTAATTAAGAAAGAGGGCGAATATTAAAGAGTACATAAAATAAAAATAAAAAATATTTTAAAAATATATTTTGACTTTTTACCGAGAGGAAAGGAGAGGGATAGAGATTTAGAAACATCGATGAGAGAGAAACATTGATCAGCTGCCTCTTGCACACCCTCCCACTGGGGATTGTGCCCACAACCAAGGTACATGCCCTTGACTGGAATCGAACCCGAGACCCTTCAGTCCGCAGGCCGACACTCTATCCGCTGAGCCAAACCGGTTAGGACGAAAATTTTAAAAACAGAATGCAAAAAGAACAGTCTACCAGCTAGCCCTACTATCGAGTACAGTGCCTATAACTGTGAGAATAAGCAATTCAAAGTATGCTGCTGTGTCCTCATTAACTATAGCAAGGAAACAGGATAAAGGTGGAGAAAACAAAACTAAGAACTGCAGGGGGTGGAGAACCTGACAGCAGCAGCCCAGTTTCCTTAAAGGCCCCTATGAACTGCTCTCAAGGAAATGGAATCTTTGAGCACTTAACAGGCGGGCTATTTTCAACACAGTAAGTTAGAGAAGACATAATGCTAATAACATTCACTTACCAAAAACTAACCCTAGAGCAGGAATTTTTAAATTTGTTGCCACAGTATTTTTAAAACATGCAAAAAAGTGTCAAATAAAAACAATGACAACAGCCAACACAATAGCTGTCCATGTGAATGAATCAAAATAATTATTATTTTTTGGGTCAGATTGGCAAAACATGTATTTTTTGGCGTGCCACAGAATTTCAGTAATTAGTTGATGTATGCCATCAGACGTAAAAGGCTGAAAATCAAAAAGTTACTGCAGGTTTTGGGGCACCCATCTAGACCAGGCTGAAAATCAAAAAGTTACTGCAGGTTTTGGGGGCACCCATCAAGATCAGAGGCAGGACTGCCTCGCCTCCTGTATGATGCACACTGGTCACCACTGCAGAGACAGGACAGAGAGGCCCCTGTAACTCTTCAGGCCTAGGGTGGAAGCCTTCTTGGCCAGACATAGGAACATTGCAGCCCTTAGCCCCACTGTCCCTGCATCCCCATCTCGTCAGGTCAGTCTCAGGAAGTGTTACAGGACTTTGCTGGTCGAGAGGAAGGAAGGCTCAAGCGCAGCCGCATAGCCTTACACCAGGGACATACAGGGCAGGGACGCAGAACACATGCACATTTCTTTTTCTACCTTTAAAATTCAGGATTCTAGCCATGGCAATTATTGTTTTACTATAAAAATACTAAGCAAGGCCAGGCTGGTGTGAATCAGTGATTGAGTGTCGACCTAGGAACCAGGAGGTCACGGTTTGATTCCTGGTCAGGGCACATGCCTGGGTTGTAGGCTCCATTCTCCAGTAAGGGGCATAGAAGAGGCAGCCCATCAATGGTTTTTCTCTCATTACTGATGTTCAGTCTTTCCCTCTCCCTCTCTGAAATCAATAAAAATATACTTAAAAAAAACACACATTTATTTCCTCAAGAACATAAAAAAAACTAATCAAAACACAAAAAAACTAAGCAAGGAAAACTGATGCCTCAGGGATGCAGGTCAGGCTGATCCTGGTTTTATGTAGCCAGTAACCTAAATAAGGACTCTGAATTAAAATGTCACCCAGATATACAACTGGGGCCAAAGGAACACAGTGGACTGGCAGGTCAGACCGTCTCTTTCCAAGGTTTGTGTTGTATTACTGGGACTTCCATGAACTTGGGTTTCTTTACTCTAATATTTTAGGTGTAAAGAAAACAGTCTTGCCGAAACTGGTTTGGCTCAGTGGTAGAGCGTCGGTCTGAGGACTGAAAGGTCCCAGGTTCAATTCGGTCAAGGGCATGTACATTGGTTGCGGGCACATCCCCAGTAGTGGGTATGCAAGAGGCAGCTGGTCGATGTTTCTCTCTCATCGACGCTTCTAGCTATCTCTCTCTCTTCCTCTCTGTAAAAAATCAATTAAGATATATTAAAAAAAGAAAACAGTCTCATGGACAATAGGGTGGTGAAGACCTGTGGGGGTTTGTAGGAGCTGAGTGGAGGAGGGTTAAGAGGGGAAAATGTCTCTGTAATATTGTCAACAATAAAAAAATATTTAAAAAGAAAACAGTATTTAGGAGATTCAGAAAGAACCAACCCTTCTTAGCCCCTAAACCTCCAACTCAGCATGTAATGGAAGCTCTGCTGCCCCCCCGCAAAGCCCAATCCCCCCAAAGGGAATGGATTGGCAAGAGCTACCTCATGTTTTCCACGGGCTCATGCACCCTAGGGCCCAAAGCCCTTGGTGATAGGCCCACACTCACCCTCCCTTTGAGGAAACGGTGATTTCCGTTTTCCTCACCTCCCTGGCGGGACCGTGGCTGACTGGGGCCAGGCCTCAGGAATCCCTGTGCCTTCAGACCTGGCACAGCCCCCATGCCCAGCAGGGCACCCAGGACGGTGGGCCCTTGGTCAAAGTGGCCGCCGAGCCTCACCTGAGGAGGGACAAGGCGCAGAGCTGGGCGAGAAGGTCTTGCTGTTGCGAAGGGCAGACTGGTTTCTCGGGCAGCGGGGGCTCCGGGAGCTGATGTTCACCACCTTCCCAGGGGGCGTCGTCGACTGTTCCTCCTGGGCGGGTCTCGCTGAGGCCATGGAGCTGGCGTTCGATTCTGGAGCCTAGGACAGAAATGGGCAGAAACAACAGCCACACTCAGCCCGTGAACAATGGTTCTGGAAGGAGTGCCCAGGAGCAGGAGGCACAAGAACTCCCTGAAATCAGGTGGACAGCAAAGGCTAAGCGACCACATTCCATGGCGAAGGTCAGCATCCCTGCATCACTCAGCAGTGCCAGTTTAAAATCACCAGTCAGGTAGGCACTCAGGGGAACCAGGGTTCTCCCTCCTGAAAACCCTGCCCTCACTGCCCACAGACAGGTGGCATGGACTGGCAAACCATCAGTAAGTGACTAGAGGAAGGGAGGGAGGGGGGACATATGGCTGAAAGCAATGAGCATCCCGGCCTGGCCAGGAAGGGCTCGCTCTAGCTGCCAGAAGTTGCTGAATTGCAGCGGACGACAACTAGCCTTTAAAAAAACAAGCTTAAGATGACTGCCACAGAAACTGGTTTGGCTCAGTGGATAGAGCGTCAGCCTGCAGATTGAAAGGTCCCAGATTGATTCTGGTCAAGGACGTGTACCTTGGTTGCGGGCACATCCCCATAGGGGGGTGTGCAAGAAGCAACTGATCGATGATTCTCTCTCATCGATGTTTCTAACTCTCCATCCCTCTCTCTTCCTCTCTGTAAAAAATCAATAAAAATAAAAAATAAAAAAAAAGATGACTGCCATGGCCTCTTCTTACTGAGAGTAGAAAAAGACACAGATTTAACCTCTAGAATGAAACACAATCACAGCTGAAGAGCTCCCTGCTGAGTCAATCCCAAACCCCAGGGGTTTCTCATACTGCTGCCTGAGGGCACTGCCTCCACTCCTGAGTCCTCAACAGAGACACTCCCTTCCATCCAGCTGTTCTCACCCCAGTGACTTTACCTACTCTGACCTCCACATTCCACACCCAAGGCTCACTGGTGGACCTTCCAGTAAATTACAGAACCCATTATCCACAATCTCAGCTGCTCTTCTTGCTCAGAGGCTCCATGCCTCCTCTGTACCTCCCATGGTCCTTCAGCCACCAGCCCTGACCCACCTTGCCCCCCAGCTCTTCCCGCTTAGCTTATTCAATCTGACTCATTATTCAATTGTCCAACTGAGTGCCCAGCCAGTATACCACAGACCCCCCAGGGCACTTGCTCTTGTCAGTGATTCACCGGCACCTCAGCAGGAGGGAGACCAAAAGGCCAAGTTATCCATCTCTAATTCAAGGTTCCCACTCTCAGCTGGGCCTCTGGTCAGCAGCTCTCACACCTGAGAAGCATCAGTATCACCTGGTAGACCAGGCAGAGGGTGTCAAAACACGGTCTATAGCTGGGCCAGTGTGACTCAAGGTTGTGTGTCAACCTATGAACCAGGAGGTCACAGTTGGATTCCTGGTCGGGCACATGCCTGCTGCTGGCTTGGGTTGCAGGCTCAATCCCCAGTGAGGAACATGCAGGAGACAGCCAATTAATGATTCTCTCTCAACACTGATGACTATATATCTCTCTCCCTCTCCCTTCCTCTCCGCAATTAAAAAAAAATATATTAAAACACACACACACACACACACATACACACACACAAAACCAACAAAAAACACACACACACACAAAAAAAAACGCACACACAAAAACACAAAAAATCAGCACGGTGTATAGGGCCCCAGAACCTGCATTAAGTTCCCAGGTAAAGCTGATCTCTAACAAGTTCCCAGGTAAAGCCAAGACTTGACAGGGGACCAATCCACTTTGGGAACCATGGCTCTGAGCATTCTGCTTTGTGTTCTCTGCAACAATATTTCCAACCTGCTCCACTCTCCTCTTCGGTTGGGGCAAGGCCACTACCTCCGCGGTATTTCCTCCAGCCTTCTCAGGAGCCAGCCCAGCTTGGCCTCCTTCCATAAGGTATTGGACATACTCATGTGTCCCCCAGTCTTTTCCTCGCCCTCCAAAAAACAAGCTTGAAAACGTTTTTAAACTCATAATCTCTGCCCAGTCACCTAGTATTGCCATGCCTGATCGAGGGCACCTCCATGCTGCGAAATCCAAAGGCCATCTCCCACCCTCAAGCTTGCCTCACCAGCCTCTGCAGCATCCAGCCAGTTCCCACGCACCTCTCTCCTGCCACTGATTCACTTCACCTGCTCTACTGAGAGCCTCTGTGTGCAAAGCATTGCATGGGGCACACTGAGAAAACGAAGAGGAGCCTGGTGGGAAGGTCACACCAGAAACCAAGGCAGAACAGCAAATTCACAGACTGAGTGACTGTCCAGGAAAGTGGAAGGTGTGGTGTGAGCTCTCGGGCACCACTTACACTTGGTACTGACTGGGAATCAGTACTGAGGGGTGCACAGTGAATCTGCAGTCTTGCCTGTCCTCCAAAGCCACAGCATTCAGCTCCCTCAGCTGTTCCTCCTGGAACTATGAGCCTCCAGGCTTCTAACCACCACTCACACCCTGCTATTTCAGGAAAAGCCTGCATTAGGACTCTGCCCTTGTGTTCAGGAGATCCTACAAGACTTTCCCTTCAGCAAAAGTCTCTGCCCCATTTGCAGCTCTGCTAATCGGCCTCCCCTGGTTGGGGTCACAAGCCATGGCCTGCCTGGCATGACCACCCCTCCCTGGGCCATCATGGTCACTCCCTGGGCTCAGGGATCACCCACTCATCTAGGACCTTCCTGAGAAGGCCCAGACACTTCAACTAGCAGTCTCCTGGACAGCTACCCATGGAGGCTGGACTGCAGAGGTTTCCTGGGTATAGCCCCACAAAGCTAAGCCTCACACGGTGCAGCTCTCAGCCCCAGTATTTCACTTGTCGCCTCCCGGTTCCACTCCCTTCACTGAGGCTGTGCCACCGCTGTCCTCCCAGGACAGCCATTCTGAAGTGCAAACTCAACCTTGTCATTCCTCTGCAGAAACCTGCAACGCTCCTGATACTGAAAGAAAGTCCAATCTGGCTCAGTCCTGGCCAAGCCTGCCTCCTCACCTCGGTACACTGAACCCTTGGCTGGCATGCACAGGGCTCAGGAGAAACAATGGATCCTAGCAAGCCCTAAAGGCATGGCCCATTGGTTGCTGTCCTCTTTGGAGCCCTGTGTGAGCCTAGAAGGAAAGGACAGGGCCCTTGTCTGGCAAGAAGCCAAAGGCCCAGTCAATGCTCAGCATGGCCTTGCTGAATAGAATGAAACCTGGTCTGTGAGAACCTCTGCCTCTCTGGTCACTGAGGCCCCTTCCCCCTGCCCTTCCCTGAGGAGCCTGTGGACACCTGGCCAGCTGCTATGGGGCTGGGCCTGATTGCCCTCAGGGTGCCAAGAGAGCCATGCCGACACTCACTCACCAGTCTGGGGTTGACCTCAGTGGAGATGAGCTTCAGGAGGCAGCTGAGGAGGCGCTGCTTGTGAAAGGCGGCAGGTGGGGAACCGCCCGGGGCCTGGCCCTCAGGGCCCAGCTCGGCCAGCCAGTCGTACTCCAGCTGCAGCTTGCTCGGCTTTCCCATCATGAGGTAGACTTCGGCCAGTGTCAGGCTCTCGGAGGTCTGCAGGTTCCAGCCCTCTTCGCGGAGCTGCTGGGCCAGCCGGCTGGCAGGGACATCTTTTGGAGGCTTGGCAGGCTGTCCCTGAGGTGGCGGGGGGTCCGAGGGGCTCACCTTCTCCTGGGGCTCCTCCGCAGGAGCATCTGCTGAGTCTTTAGTGCAAACATCTGGCTGGAGCCCTGGACTGGGCTGAGGCTCCAGGCCAGATAGGCCACGGACAGGAGATGGTGCCCTGGTCCGGGCAAGGTTGGCCACCTCTGCGCTGCTGGGGGCTTGAGTCTCTGGGGAGACGCACACTGAGAGCCGAGAGTCTGCACAGTGGCACGGCTCAGGGAGGATGAGGTCCTGGCAGGACTTCATGTAGCGGGGGAAGGGGTCTAGGAGAGAGAGGTCATCCTCCAGCTCTGGGAGTTGGCCACAGGCACAAGTCGTGGCCCTGGGCTCTTGGGCTGGGCTGTCCCCAACCTCTATAGGAGCTGCCGTAGGGGTCTGTACCCCAGCATCCTGGAGCCCAGGAGGAAGCCTGTCGGGAGCGTTCGGGCTGCTGAGGCTTGGGGCAGCCCCCTCCCCAAGGGCACTTTCAGGGGAACTCTCTCCAGAGCTCTGAGAAGTGTCCATGGAGGGAGGAGGCCGCCCCCCGCCCTTGCCTTCGGTGCCGCTCCTTGGGCACTTCACCTGGCCCCTGGCCGTACCCTGCCCGCTCTGGATGCCCAGGATCTGAGCTGGAGGCAGCGTGTGGGCATCTTTGGAGCTTTGTTTGCACCGACCACCCTCCTGCCAGTGCACCGTGCAGAAGGCCTTGGAGTGCACCACACGGGCCACTCCTGGGAGTGGGGTCAGCGTACAGTTCTCCCCTGGGAACAGGTGCAGCATTACTTTCTCCTGCGACGGCTCCACAAACGAATCCTGCAGCTGCCGCTCCGCGAGCGTCTTTCGCTTAGCGCACTGTCAAGGAACCACCTGCAGCAGCACCCGCCCCTGGGCATCACAGGACCTTGGGAAAGGCATGACTCAGGTATTTCTTCTCTAGGAACCTACTCCCAGCACACACTGTTCTGGCTGTGGACTGGGCAGGGCTGGGAGCTGGCTAAGGATAAGTCTGAAACTATCCTTAGTCATTTGATCATCCTGCTCCCAGGGATGCTTGGGCCATACTCCACGGACCAGATGGTAGTTACTCACCATGTGGAGGGCTGCTGGGACCGAGTTCTAACTCTGCCAGGTCTAAAACGGGACCTCACCCCAAAACCCAAAGGACAGGGGGCTATGGATTTTAGTTCTGGCTGTATACTATCTCACAGCATAGCTGCTACACCACATGGGCCCTAGTGCAATTCTGGGAGCGAGAGGTGAGACAGACACCTTTCTGAGGCAGCAGATGCTGTAGATATGGTGGTAGTGGTGGAGGTGGGAGGGGGTTGCTCTAGCAGAAAAAAGATACAATCCGCACTTCATGGAGCTCCCACTTCTGCTTCAAAAATTCAATGAGGCTGGAGACCTTGCGATGGAGCTCCACGATCATCCTACAGGAAACAATAGGTGGGAAGAGGAAAGCTGTTACCATGGGGATGGAACCTTCTGAAGAGCCGCCGAGGCTGCTGGCAGCAAGTCAATGCCATAAAGAGTAAAGGCATCTAGAAAAGGTACCCATGCGGAGCCAAAGCCACAATGACTCCCTTTCTTAAAAATGAACCTTTTATTTTTTATTTTTTAAATATATTTTATTGATTTTTTACAGAGAGGAAGCGAGAGTTAGAAACATCAATGAGAGAGCATCATGGATCAGCTGCGTCTTGCACACCCCCTACTGGGGATATGCCCGCAACCAAGGTACATTCAGTCCACAGGCCGACACTCTTATCTATTGAGCCAAACCGGTTTCGGCAAAAAATGAACCTTTTAAATTGAGTAACTAGAGACTCATTCAAAACTGCAAGAAGATGAGGCGGAGACCTATGTACCCTTTACAGTGCAAGATCTCACCCAGAACATGGATGTTGGCACAACCCAACTTAATAGAATTAAACTATTCTACTAAGCACCTTTTGGGTTCAAGAAGGCTGGCCAGCCTTAATTAACCCTCCAAAAATAAAAATACATACGGGAGGAATGAAGCGCACACACACTACAGTGTGGATGCTCAGCACCTTGAAAACATAATGCTCAGTGAGAAATCAGAAAGAAAGGATGACAATATGAGATTCCATTTATGCCTAATGTCCAGAACAGCCAAATCTATAGAGATAGAAGGTACATTTGTGATTGCTGGGGGCCAAGGACCAGGGGCTGGGGATGAGAAGCAACTATTTAGTGGATACCAGGTTTCCTTTTGGAGTGATAAAAATATTCTGGAACTAAATAGAAATGGTAGTTGTACAATACTGTGAATGTGAAAGTACTCAAGCATCCTGAATGCGATATCTTAAAAAGACTAATGGTTAGTTCTATGTTATTTGACGTTTCCCTCAATCTATAAAAATAAAAATGTGTAACTGGAAAATGATCTGTACTCATGGTAGTGCCCCATCCACAAATCAGATACAAAACTTTAGGGAGTGGCAAGAGACAAATGGAAAGGAAATGGGGGAAATGTTATAGTCATCAACTTGATAATCACGACATCTTCCCACATCCGCTCCTGGCCTGCAAGACTCATGCCTCCAGGCCCCCAACAGTACACTACCCCACACGCTAACCCCATGTAATTCTGGAGCTCACCCAGGAATCCACGAGGGAACCCAAATACCACCTTCTGTTCATATCCCTCCCAGCTGGCTCCCTACCAAACTCCAAAGGCAGTTACCTGAGCCGGGGGTTCTGGGAGAGGCTCTGTACGCGGGCCCAGGCATGATTGTTCCTTGGCTGTAGCTCTACCGGGACTCTCAAGGGCAGACGCACTGGCTTCTGGTCCTCTTCATCACTTAAGCCTGCGACAAGAAGGGGCAGTGAGAGCCTGGCCAAATAGACTGCCAGGCAGAAGGCAAGGTCCTTGGCCAGACAACTCAGTCAGCAGGAGCCGTGGACAAAGGGCCTGGGAGGCGAAGCAGAGCTGGCAGAGAAGCCCACAAGAACTTGTGCCTAGAGAAGCGCCAACAGGGCCACTAGGGAACCCACAAAGCCGGGACAAGGACTGGGCCACACGAGGCCATGGGACTCCCTCCTGCTACTGCTAACACTCCATCTGAATGCTGTGAGTAGAGACACTGCTTTGGACCAAGAATTGCCCATGGATTTAGGAATGCTTGGACACAGAGCTCGGCCTATCAATTGCTAATGGAGCAGAAAAGAACACACCTTCGACCCCACCCCAGCCCACCTTCTACGTACCGTCCGGGTCACAGAGCTTCTTCAGGGCTCGGCACATGGGCGCTTTGATACGCAGGTTTCTTCCTTTGTAACGCACTGTGGTGGCCCTGGGGGAAATTTTAAGGAAATGTTGAGACCTCTAAATGAAAAGTAGCTCCCTGTCCTATGCAGGGAGGGCCCTGGCTGGGCACCCATACTGGCTTTCAGAGTTCCTGCTCAGTCCCATGGCTCTGGATGTCCAATACTTTCCCACTCACAGCTCACCTGCAAATGGGATGCCTGCCATTCACAGGAAACTTGCCCTGCCTGCTAAGGGGTTCAGAATCATCTGCTGTCCAACCCCCTGGAAAGCCCTTAACAGTGAGTCCCCTAAGATACCAGATGATGTACCCTTCACTCCTCCTCCTCAGGGTCCCTTGAGAGTAGGTTTCAACCCATCTCTATGTAACCTCAACTCAACTCTAGGAGACCACATCTTCACATCAGCAATGTCCCCCAGCACCTCTGTAAACCATACTGCTGAGACCTGGGGATATAAGGCACTCACAGCCAGCAGGCACAAGGCATCAAGTCAGTGGGCCTGCTTCCAGTCTGTCATAGCTGAGGTAACACTGTGTGGCAATACTTTATATCCTATCTAATAAATAGGGAATACGCTAATTGACCCTCATACCATCCCAAAGATGACGGCACCCACAGTCAATAAGGAGGGAACATGCTAATTGACTGACCTGCCCTCAAAGACGGTGGCATCCACAGCCAATAAGGGTATATGCTAATTGCTACTACGCCCTCAAAGATGGCGTCCTCCAGTCCACTCAGCCCCTCAGGGCTTGCCCAAGGTAGAGGCAAGCCTGGGATGGGCTGCCTGAGGTTTACGCTGCTGCTGCTGGCAGTGGCAGCAGCAGAGGTATGATGGGGCATCACCTTCCCCTGATCACTGTGTCACCTCCCGCCCTTGAAGGCTCCTGGGCTGTGAGAGGAGGAAGGCCAGGCTCAGGGACCCCCCGTCTAGTGCATGAATTTTCATGGACTGGGCCTCTAGTAGTGTTATAATTAAGAGAAATAGCCGGGACCGGTTTGGCTCAATGGATAGAACGTCGGCTTGGGGACTGAGGGGTCCCGGGTTCGATTCCAGTCGGGGGCATGTACCTTGGTTGCGGGCATATCCCCAGTAGGGGCTGTGCAAGAGGCAGCTGATCAATGACTCTCTCTCATCGATGTTTCTGACTCTCTGTCTCTCTCCCTTCCTCTCTGTACAAAATCAATAAAATATATTTAAAAAAAAAAAAAGAATTAAGAGAAATACTATAAATGAGTATAAGAGCCACAAAAAATAGTTCTTTCTAATAAACACACTTAGAATGCTTTGGAATTACTCAATAAGGATAGATTGTTTTTTAAAAATGGCAGTCAAGTTGAGTGTGGGCAAGACAACTATGAAAGACTGAGGGTGACCTGGAAGCACTCTGCAGTCCCACTGCTGTGTATTTCTATGCTCGTTCCACTTGAAAATGCTTAATCGCAAGTGATGCATCTTAACTAGAGCTTCTAAGATAAAAACAACCCAGAACTCTGAGGATGGGCCCATCAAAGAAAAGGTCTTGGCCAGCCACCGTGTGTCTGGTAAACAAATGTAGGTTTCTGTTTTACAAGTTTCAAGATCTATGTATATTGTTTTTAATCCTGTTTTCTGTTTGTTTGACTGTTTTCTATAGGCAGACACATAACAAACTCATGGGCAATCCAGGGCTGCGAGGTGCTACCGAGGAGGGAATTGGGAGGAGAGCTTTAAAGCAGCAGTAATTAAGCACCAAGTCGATTTTTGGACAACCTCCTCCAAAAAAGGGCTCTGCGGACAGGTGGACTTTTCTGCCCATCACCACTTTTTGTTGCATCTGCTCCCAAACAAAACAACACAGTAGCACACAAGACTTAAAGAGCAGGTGGAGCTGTGTCATGTGGCACCTGTTTGTGATGATCACATTTTCCGTCCAACTGCCATTCTGTGACTTCCTTTTTTTTTTAAAAAAAAGTGAAATTGAGCAGCCCCCTTTTTATGACTAGATAACCATCCTGAGAATACAATTCCTTTCTTTTTCTCTCAAATGGAAGCTCTATGAGCAGCCTGAGTTTGGAGCCTGTACAAGGTAAAGCTATGTTCAAGCTCATACAGAAAAGGCTTCTCAAGGCCTGGCCCCGGTCCTGGGACATGATCTGTACTCCTCACCCTCACACACCAGCCCTGTGGCTGGAAGACAGGCGAGACTACTGACAGGCCAGGCCACCTTGACCTCTGATGGGATGTAACAAAACAGAGGATTCTATCTGAACCACTGCACTTGAGTGTTACTTTGACAGAACAGGCAATAAAATAATCCCTCTAAGTGCATGCGAGTCTGGCTTTCCATTCTGAGAGATTTATTTTCTTCTCTGCAAAGTTATTATATTTGGTAAATCCAATAAGCATGCTGCTGGGTCTGTGACCAATGTAATAAGATTTAATTTTGGAGCTTTTCTCAATTCATTTACTCTTTTATCTAATTCTATAAATTTTATAACAAAAGGAGATCTACAGCTAATTGAAAAAGGTCTGTAAGAGAAGCATAGATAGAAAGTTGGTTAAATACTCAATGCTTTTTGGTCTTGAATCAAGGCACTGTATTAATTTCCCCGCATCTCCGTTTCACCTTACAAGCTTTTCATTTTATACAAAAAAACTGATGTCTGTTGGTGAAAGAATGGACACAAATCAATAGAACTGACTTAAAGGTCTTAAAAAAACACACACTTAGTACTGTCAATTGACCTTAGATGATGGTCCTTTCTTCAGAAAAGGCTGGGACAACTGACACCCATAGGCAAAAAAAAAAAAAAAAAAAAAAAAAAAAAAAAAAAAAGAACCTAGGTATTAACTTTACATCATAAAAATCCAAAGTAGAGCATGGATTTAAATGTCAAACAATAAATCTTTTAGAAGGAATCAGGAAAACCCCTTTGTGACCTTATTAGGCAAAGTTCTTAGCAACAACACTTTAGTCCACAAAAGAAAAGGATGGCAAATTGGATGGCTAATCAAAACTAAGTACTCTGCCCTTTGAAAGACAATAGTAAAGAGAATGACCAGACAAGTCACAGAGTGGAAGAAAATATTTACAAATCACCTATCTGATAAAAGACTGGTGTCTAGAACAGTGACCGCCAACCTTTTAGACTCGGACCACCAGTTGGGATCCCTGCTCCAAAGGTTTCCTTAAACCAGGAGATGCCAACCTTTCGGACCTCACAGACAATCTGTGGTTCGTGGACCACTGGTTGGCAACCGCTGGTCTAAAACATATAAAGAACTCTCTAAACTCAAACATAAAAAAATAGGCACAAGATTTGAACAAACACGTCACCAAAGAAGAAATACACAAATGGTAAAGCACAAGAAAGATGCTCAACATCATCAGTCATCACGGAAATGCTAATCAAAACCACAATGAGTCCAGCCAGCATTGCTTGGTGGTTGAGTATTGACATATGAACTAGGAGGTCACAGCTGAATTCCTAGTCAGGGCACATGCCCAGGTTACAGGAGCTCTATTCTGACCAATCAGGACAGTGCCTTTTGAACTAACCAAACTGTAAGGATTTAGAGTCCTCATTTGCTTAACAGAGCAATCAGTGACCAGAGAAGGGGACTTCTATCCCTATTAGCCAGTTCCCTTGTGACTCTGAGAGCACACTTTCTCCTTCCTCTGACCACTAAGACTATTCCCTGGCTGAAGATGTCTTGCTGAACACAGCAGTACAGGCTGGAACAGACTGGCACAAAACAGCAGACCAAAATACTGCAGAGCAGACCAGTGCAGTGCAAAGCACATTGGCAAGAAGCAGAGCATTGCTGAAACTGGTTTGGCTCAGTGGAAAAAGCGTAGGACTGCGGATTGAGGGGTCCTGGGTTCAATTCGATCAGGGGCATGTACCTTGGTTATGGGCACATCCCCAACCAAGGTACATGTGTGCAGAGGCAGCTGGTTGATGTTTCTATCTCATCGATGTTTCTAGTTCTCTATCCCTCTCCCTTTCTATTAAAAAAAAAACAATAACATTTTTTTATAATAAATCTTTTATTGTTCAGATTACAGGTGTTCCTCTTTCCCCCTCTTCCCCTATAGCTCCCCTCCACCTGATTCCCAACTCCACCCCATGCCCTTACCCCTACCCCCTCTCCCCCCGTCTTCATCCATAGGTGTTAAGATTCTTGTCAAATTTCTTCCCTCACCCCTCAGACTTCCTTCCCCCTGAGAATTGTTAGTCCAATCCCTTTCTATGTCCCTGTTTCTATTATGTTCACCAGTCCATTTTGTTCTTCAGATTTTTTATTCACTTGATTTTTAGATTAACTTTTTGGTAGGTATGTATTTGATGTCTTTTTGTTGTTCATAATTTTTACCTTTACTTTTCTTCTTCTTCCTGTCCTTAAAGAATACCCTTCAGCATTTCATGTAATCCTGGTTTGGTGGTGATGAACTCCTTTAACATTTTCTTGTCTGTGAAGCTCTTTATTTGACCTTCAATTCTGAATGATAGCTTTGCTGGGTAGAGTAATCTTGGTTGTAGGTTCTTGTTGTTCATCATTTTGAATATTTCTTGCCACTCCCTTCTGGCCTGCATAGTTTCTGTTGAGAAATCAGCTGAGAGTCGTATAGATACTCCCTTGTAGGTAACTAGCTGTTTTTCTCTTGCTGCTTGCAAGATTCTCTTTGTCATTTGCTCTTGGCATTTTAATCATGATGTTTCTTGGTGTGTCCCTCCTTGGAATCCTCTTGTTTGGGGTTCTGTATGCTTCCTGAACTTGTAAGTGTATTTCTTTTACCAGGTAGGGAAAGTTTTCTATCATTATTTCTTTCAATAGTCCTTCAATATCCTGCTCACTCTCCTCTGGCACCCCAAAAATCTGGATATTGGTAGGTTTTAAGCAGTCCCGAAGGCTCCTTACACTATCCTCATACTTTTGGATTATTCTTTCTTTCTGCCTCTCTGGTTGGTGACTTTTTCTTCCTTATATTCCAGATCTTTGGTTTGATTCTTGGGGTACAATGATCTATAGTTGAGTTTC